AAATTAGTTCAACCATTGTGGAAGACAGTGTGGCGATTCCTCAAGGCCTTAGAAATAGAAATTCCATTTGACCCAGCAATCCCATTACTGGGTATATATCCAAAAGACTATAAATTGTTCTACTATAAGGACACATGTACACGAGTGTTCATTGCAGCACTGTTTACAATAGCAAAGACCTGGAATCAACCAAAATGCCCATTGATAATAGACTGGATTGGAAAAATGTGGCACATATACACCATGGAATATTATGCAGCAAACAGAAATGATGAGTTTGTATCGTTTGTAGGTACATGGATGAATCTGGGGAACGTCATCCTCAGCAAACTGACACAAGAACAGAAAATGAAACACCGCATATTCTCACTCATAGGCGGGTGATGAAAAATGAGAACACATGGACACAGAAAGGGGAGTACTAAACACTGGGGTCTATTGGGAGGAAAAGGGGAGGGCCAGTGGGAGGGGGAGGTGGGGAGGGATAGCCTGGGGAGAAATGCCAAATATGGGTGAAGGGGAGAAGGAAAGAAAAGCACACTGCCATGTGTGTTCCTACGCAACTGTCTTCCATGCTCTGCTCATGTACCCCAAAACCTAAAATCCAATAAAAAATTTAAAAAAAATGAAAAGATAGTACAAGAAAACTACATTCTTCCCTCATGACACTATGCACGCACATGGAAACCTAGTAGAATTGTAAACCAATTGCACAAAGGTACACTGATCCCTGGTGCTCATGGATGTCACAACAGCTGCTGCCATATTAATAAGTGCTGGGGGACTAGCTGGGAAGGTTTCATTGAGTGCTGCGTGGGCATTTTTAATCTTCCCTCACAAACATTGTGAGTGATCGCACTATATGGAAATGAAATGAAGGGGTTCAATGTTGAGGTATGTGCATTATGTTAACCCCACAGGTATATCCTCCTGGTGTTCACGTTCTAGAAAACTATTTCATAAAGCCATAGAGGACATGAAAACTATTTCATAAAGCCAGCAGGGGTGAATATGCTAAATGTGCATAAGATGCCCCTAAAATTGAGGCTTGGAAAGTATATACAACAAAATTAATTTGTAGTATTCATCAAACTATGCCTGTTTAGGGAAACCAAGTAGGACAGGAAAACTAAGAAGCAGACATACACACACCTCTGGTCCTCGTGGATGAAATTCCAGCTGCTGCCCTATGACCAAGACCTGGTGGAGCAGTTGAAAAGATGTTGTAAAGTGCTCGTTGGCCGTTATTTATCATCGCTTCACGGACGTTGTGAGTGACCGCAGCATCTGGAAACCAAATGCAGTGGTTGAGCTGTGCGTTATGTGCATTAAGTCAACCGCACAGGCATACCCCTCGGATGCTCAGAATCGAGGAAATTATCTCATAAAGAAGAAGGACATACGAAGTAGCAGTCTGAGAACCGTAAATTTGAGGCCAGTAAAGATAGTACAACAACACTGTATTCTTCCCTCATGACACTACGCATGCATATAGAAATCAAGTAGGACAGTACGCCAAGTGAACAAACTTACACTGATCCCTGGTACTCATGGATGAAACACCCGCTGCTGCCATATTAATATGTGCTGGTGGAATAGTTGAGAAAACATTCTTGGGTGCCGTTTGGGCATTTTTAATCATCTCCTCATGGACATTGTGAGTGGTGGTAGAATCTGGAAATGAAATCAGGAGGTTCAGTCTTGCGTTATGTGTACTATGTCAACTCTACAGGTATATCCTCCTGATACTCAGTTTCTAGAAAACGATTTCAAAAAGCTGAAGAGGATATGCCAGATGGCGATCTGAGAACACTCAAATGCAGCTCACTGAAGATAATACAATAAAATCACCTTCTCCCGTTCAGGACACTAGGCATGCCTATGAAAACCAAGTAGGATAGTCCAAATGAATAAGCAAACATACACTGATCCCTGGTGCTCATGGCTGGGAGACCAGCTGTTGCCAAATAAGGAAGTCCTTGGAGAACAGTTGACAAGACGTTATTAAGTGTTGGTTGGTTATTTTCCATCTTCTCTTTGCGGACATTTTGAGTGACGGTAGCATCTGAAAACCAAAGATGAGGTTGAGCTGTGAGGTAAGTACATTATGTCAACCACAGAGATATGTCCGTCTGATCCTCAGTTTCTAGGAAATTATCAAAGACAGCAGGGTTGCATATGCCATGTGGCTATCTGATACCCCTCAAATTGACGCTAGGAACGTGTATATGACAAAATTAACCTGTAGCATACATCGATCTATGCCTCCTTAGGGAAATCAAGTCGGACAGTACAACTAAGAAGCAGATCTACACAGACCTGTGGTTCTCGTGGATGACACTCCAGCCGCTGCCACATTACCAAGACCTAGTGGAGGAGCTGACAAGACGTTGTCAGGTAGTAGTTGGCCGTTATTTATCTTCGCTTCACGGACATTGTGAGTGACTGCAGCATCTGAAAACCAACAGAAATGGCTGGGCTGTGAGGTAAGTGCATTATGTCAACCACAGCATACCCCTCTGATGCTCAGTATCCAGAAAATTATCTCATAAAGAAGGACATACCAAGTAGCAGTCTGAGAACCTTAAGATTAAGGCCAGGAAAGATAGTACAACAAAATTACATTCTTCCCTCATGACACTATGCACGCATAATGAAACCTAGTAGGATAGTAAACCAATTGCATACGGGTACACTGATCCCTGTTGCTCATGGATGACACAACAGCTGCTGGCATATTAATAAGTGCTGGGGGACTAGCTGGGAAGATTTTATCAGGTACTGCTTGGGCATTTTTAATCTTCTTCTCACAGACATTGTGAGTGATCGTAGCATTTGGAAATGAAAAGAAGGGGTTCAGTGTTGAGGTATGTGCATTATGTTAACCCCACAGGTATATCCTCCTAATGCTCACTTCCTAGAAAACTATTTCATAAAGCCAGAGAGGATATGCCAGACGGCAATCTGAGAACACTCAAATGCAGCTCACGAAAGACAATACAACAAAATCACCTTCTCCCATTCAGGACACTAAGCATGCCTATGAAAACCAAGTAGGATAGTCCAAATGAATAAGCAAACATACACTGATCCCTGGTGCTCATGGCTGGGAGACCAGCTGTTGCCAAATAAGGAAGTCCTTGGAGAACAGATGACAAGACTTTATTAAGTGTTGGTTGGTTATTTTCCATCTTCTCTTTGCGGACATTTTGAGTGATGGTAGCATCTGAAAACCAAATGAAGAGGTTGAGCTGTAAGGTAAGTACATTATTTCAACCCCAGAGTTATATCCCTCTGATCCTCACTTTCTAGGAAATTATCAAAGAAACCAGGGTAGGATATGCCACGTGGCTCTCTGATAACCCTCAAATTGATGCTAGGAAACTATATCCAACAAAATTAACTTGTAGCATTCATCAAACAATGCCTCCTTAGGGAATCCCAGTAGGACGGTCCAACTAAGAAGCAGACATACATAGATCTCTGGTCTTCGTGGATGAAATTCCAGCTGCTGCCAAATTACCAAGCCCTGGTGGAGCAGTTGACAATATGCTATCAGGTGCTAGTTGGATATTATTTATCTTTGCTTCATAGACGTTGTGAGTGATCGCAGCATCTGGAAACCAAATGAAGTGGTTGAGCTGTGTGTTTCATGCATTATGTCAACCGCACAGGCATACGCCTCTGATATTCAGTATCGAGGAAATTAACTCATAAAGAAGGACATACCAAGGAGCAGTCTGAGAACCGTAAAGTTGAGGCCAGTAAAGATAGTACAAAAACACTGTATTCTTCCCTCATGACACTGCACATGCATATAGAAATCAAGTAGGACAGTACGCCAAGTGAGCTAACTTACAATGATCCCTGGTACTCATGGACGAAACACCCGCTGCTGCCATATTAATATGTGCTGGTGGAATTGCTGAGAAAACATTATTGGGTGGTGTTTGTGCATTTTTAATCTTCTCCTCATGGACATTGTGAGTGATGGTAGAATCTGGAAATGAAATCAGGAGTTTTGGTTTTGAGTTATGTGTACTAGGTCAACTCTACAGTCATATCCCCCTGATACTCAGTTTGTAGAAAACGATTTCATAAAGCTGAAGAGGATATGCCAGATGGCTATCTGAGAACATTCAAATGCAGCTCACAGAATATAATACAACAAAATCACCTTCTCCCGTTCAGGACACTAGGCATCCCTATGAAAACCAAGTAGGATAGTCCAAATGAATAAGCAAACATACACTGATCCCTGGTGCTCATGGCTGGGAGACCAGCTGTTGCCAAATAAGGAAGACCTTGGAGAACAGTTGACAAGACGTTATTAGGTGTTGGTTGGTTATTTTCCATCTTCTCTTTGCGGACATTTTGAGTGATGGTAGCATCTGAAAACCAAATGAAGAGGTTGAGCTGTAAGGTAAGTATATTATGTCAACCCCAGAGGTATATCCGTCTGATCCTCAGTTTCTAGGAAATTATCAAAGACAGCAGGGTTGGATATGCCCTGTGACTATCTGATACCCCTCAAATTGATGCTAGGAAAGTGTATACAATAAAATTAACTTGTAGCATTCATGGATCTATGCCTCCTTAGGGAAATCAAGTAGGACGGTAAGACAAACAGCAGACCTACACAGACCTGTGTTCCACGTGGATGAAATTCCAGCTGCTGCCATATTACCAAGACCTGGTGGAGCAGCTGACAAGACGTTGTCAGGTGCTAGTTGGCTGTTATTTATCTTCGCTTCACGGACATTGTGAGTGACTGCAGCATCTGGAAACCAACAAAAAAGGCTGGGCTGTGAGGTAAGTGCATTATGTCAACCACAGCATACCCCTCTGATGCTCAGTATCCAGGAAATTATCTCATAAAGAAGTGGGACATACCAAGTAGCACTCTGAGAAACTTAAGATTCAGGCCAGGAAAGATAGTACAACAAAACTACATTCTTCCCTCATGACACTATGCACGCATATGGAAACCTAGTAGGATACTAAACCAATTGCTCAAAGGTACACTGATCCCTGTTGCTCAAGGATGACACAACAGTTGCTGCCATATTAATAAGTGCTGGGGAACTAGCTGGGAAGCTAGCTGGGAAGCTTTTATCGGGTACTGCTTGGGCATTTTTAATCTTCTTCTCACAAACATTGTGAAAGATCATACCATCTGGAAATTAAATAAAGGGGTTCAGTTTTGAGTTATGTGCATTATGTTAACCCCACAGGTATATTTTCCTGATGCTCACTTTCTAGAAAACTATTTCAGGAAGCCAGAGAGGATATGCCAGGTGGCGATCTGAGAACACTCAAATGCAGCTCACGAAAGACAATACAACAAAATCACCTTCTCCCTTTCAGGACACTAGGCATGCCTATGAAAACCAGGTAGGATAGTCCAAATGAATAAGCAAACATACACTGATCCCTGGTGCTCATCGCTGGGAGACCAGCTGTTGCCAAATAAGGAAGTCCTTGGAGAACAGTTGACAAGGCGTTATTAAGTGTTGGTTGGTTATTTTCCATCTTCTCTTTGCAGACATTTTGAGTGATGGTAGCATCTGAAAACCAAATGAAGAGGTTGAGCTTTGACGGAAGTGCAGTGTGTCAACCCCAGAGGTATATCCCTCTGATCCTCACTTTCTAGGAAATTATAAAAGAATCCAGGGGTTGATATGTCACGTAGCCGTGATACCCCTCAAATTGATGCTAGGAAACTATATCCAAGAAAATTAACTTGTAGCATTCATCAAACAATGCCTCCTTAGGGAAACCAAGTAGGACAGTACAACTAAGAAGCAGACATACACAGATCTCCGGTCCTCGTAGATGAAAGTCCAGCTGCTGCCATATTAGCAAGACCTGGTGGAGCAGTTGACAAGAGGTTATCAGGTGCTGATTGGCCGTTATTTATCTTCTCTTCAAGGATTGCATGAGTGACTGCAGCATCTGGAAACCAAATGAAGTGGTTGAGCTGTGTGTTTCATGCATTATGTCAACCGCACAGGCATACCGCTCGGATGCTCGGTATCGAGGAAATTATCTCATAAAGAAAAAAGACATACCAAGTAGCAGTCTGAGAACCGTAAAGTTGAGGCCAGTAAAGATAGTACAACAACACTGTATTCTTCCCTCATGGCACTACGCATGCATATAGAAACCAAGTAGGACAGTACGCCAAGTGAGCTAACTTACACTGATTCCTGGTACTCATAGAAGAAACACCCGCTGCTGCCATATTAACACGTGCTGGTGGAATACCTGAGAAGACATTATTGGGTGCCGTTTGGGCATTTTTAATCTCCTCATGGACATTGTGAGTGATGGTAGAATCTGGAAATGAAATCAGGAGGTTTAGTTTTGAGTTATGTGTACTATGTCAACTCTACAGGCATATCCTCCTGATACTCAGTTTCTAGAAAACTATTTCATAAAGCTTAAGAGGATATGCTAGATGGTGATCTGAGAACATTCAAATGCAGCTCATGAATGAGAACACAACAAAATCACCTTCTCCCATTCAGGACACTAGGCATGCCTATGAAAACGAAGTAGGATAGTATAAATTAATAAGCAAACATACACTGACCCCTGGTGCTCATGGCTGGGAGACCAGCTGTTGCCAAATAAAGATGTTCTGGTAGAACAGTTGATAAGACGTTATTAGGTGTTGGTTGTGTATTTCTCATCTTCTCTTTGTGGACATTTTGAGTGACAGTAGCACCTGAAAACCAAATGAAGAGTTTGAGCTGTGAGGTAAGTACATTATTCAACCCCAGAGGTATATCCCTCTGATCCTCACTTTCTAGGAAATTATCAAAGAATCCAGGGGTGAATATGCCAAGTGAAACATCTGATACCCCTCAAATTGAGGCTAGGAAAGTACATACAACAAAATTAACTTGTAGCATTCATCAAACTATGCCTCCTTAGGGAAACCAAGTAGGACAGTACAACTAAGAAGCAGACATACACAGACCTGTGGTCCTCGTGGATGAAATTCCAGCTGCCGCCATATTACCAAGACCTGCTGGAGCAGCTGACGAGACGTTGTGAGGTGCTAGTTGGCCATTATTTACCTTTGCTTCAGGGATATTGTGAGTGACTGCAGCATCTGGAAACCGAATGAAGTGGTTGAGCTGTGAGGTAAGTGCTTATCTCACTGCCACATGTATGTTTTTCTGACAAAGAGATTTAAGCAATTGTTCCATCACACAAGAGGCTGTATCAGGTGGCGATCTGAGACCCTTCAAATTTAGGTCGGAAAAGATAATACAACCAAAGCACCTTTTTTCCTGCATGATACTGCATGTTTATGGAAACCAAGTAGGACAACGTAGTTAGTAAATGAACATGCAGAGATCCCTGGTACTCAGGGGTTGAATACCTGCTTCTGTGAAGTTCCTAAGCCCTGCTGTAATAGTTGACAAGAATTCATGAGGTGTTGTTTTGTCACTTTTTATCTTTTCTTCACAGACATTTTGAGCAATGGTAAAACCTGCAAACCACATGAAGAGTTTCAGCTGTGAGCTAAGTGCATTATATCAGCCCTATAGGTCTATCTCTCTGACGCTCAGTTTCTAGGAAATTATCTAATAAAGCAGGGGAGGATATGCCAGGTGGCCCTGTGAGAACCCTCCAATTGATCCCAAGAAAGTATATGCTATAAAACCACCTTCTACCTTTCATGAAATATGCAATCATATGGAAACCAGTGATGACACTACAACTAATTAAGAGACATACACAGATCCCTGGTACTCATGCATGGAAGAGCAGCTGCGACCATAAGACCAAGCAGTGGTGGAACAGGTGACATGAGATTACCAGTTTGGGATGGGCCATTTTCCATCTTCTCTTCATGTACATTGTGAGAGATGGTACCATCTGGAAACCAAAGGAAGATTTTGAGCTTGAAGTAAGTGAATTACGTCAATGCCACCGGTATATCCCACTGATGATCAGTTTCTAGGAAATTATCCCATAAAGCAAAAGAACACATCAAATGATGATCTGCGGCTCCTCAAATTGAGGCCAAGGAAGACAATTCACAAAACAACCTTCTTCCCTTCATGGCACTATGCCTGCATATGGAAACCAAGGAGGACAGTACAAGTAAAAAATGAACATACACAGATCCCTGGTACTCATTGCTGGAATACCAGCTCCTGCCATATTATTAAACCATGCTAGAATATTTGGCCAGACGTTATCCTGTTGTGGTTGGTCATTTTCCATCCTCTGTTCATGGACATTGTGACTGACGGTGGCATCTGGAAAACAAATGAAGAGGTCAAGATAGGAGTAGGTGCATTATGCCGCCCCCACAGGTATATCCCTCTGATGTTCAGCTCCTGAGAAATTTTTGCACAAATCAAGATGACAAGAGCGGCATCTGGGACCCCTCAAACTGATATCAAGAAAGATAATACAACAAGATCTCCATCTCCGCTTCCTGACAATATACATGCATATGGAAACAAAGTAGGAAAATCCAACTAAAAAGTGAACATACACAGACCATCAGTACTCGTGGCTGGAATAGCAGCTCCTGCCACATTAGTAAGTCCTATTGGAGCAGTTGATGAGATGTTGCCATGTTGGGGTTCGCCCTTTTCCATCTTCTCCTTAAGGACATTATAAATTTCGGTAGCATCTGGAAACCAAATGAAGAGCTGTGAGTAAGTGTATTATGGTAACTCCACAGGTATATCTGTGCTCAGTTTCTAGGAAATTATCTCATAAACCAGAGGATATACCAGGTTGCCATCTGAGACCCCTGAAATGGAGGCCTGGAAACATAGTATAACACAACCACCTCCTACCTTTTTTGACACTATACATGCATATGGAAACCAAGTAGGACAGTAACACTAACAAACAAACTTACCCAAATCCCTGGTACTCATGGATGAAATACCAGCGCCTGCCATATTAATAAGTCCTGGCTGAAGTGTCAACAACACGTTGTCAGGTGCTGGTAGGACATATTCCATCTTCTGTTCATGGACGCTGTGAGTGATGGTAGCGTCTGGAAATCAAAGGAAGAGGTTGAGCTGTGAGGTAAGTGCATTAGGCCAAACCATAAGTATATCCCTCTGATGCTCACTTTCCATGAAATTATTTCATAAAGCAGGAGGATATATAAGGTGGTGTATATATCTGGGGCCCCTCAGATTTAGTTCAGAAAATATAATACAACAAAACCACCTGCTTCCCTTCAGAAGGCACTACGCATGCATATGAAAAGCAAGTAGGACAGTACAACTTATAAGCGGACATATAGCGATCTCTGGGACTCATGGCCGGAATAGCAGTTGCTACCATATTACAAAGCCCTGTGGAATCAGTTGACAATACGTTACCAGGTTGGGGCTGGCCATTTTTCCTTCTCTCTTCATTGATATTGTGAGTGACGGTAGCATCTGGAAACCAAATGAAGAGTTCAAGCTCTGAGGAAAGTGCATTATGTCAACCCCACAGGTATATCCCTCTGGTGGTCAGTTTCTATGAAATTAACCCATAAAGCAGGACATATCAGGTGGAAAATGAGACGCCAGAAATTCAGACCAGAAACAATAATAAAACAAAACGACTGTCTTCCCTGCATGTCACTGCATGCATACGGAAACCCAGTAGGACAGTATAACTACTAAACAAACATATGCTGATCCCCAGTACTCAGGGGTGGAATACCAGCCCCTGTGAAATTTATAAGCCCTTCTATAACGGTTGACAGGGATCTATCAGGTGCCATTTGTTCCTTTTTTATCTTCTCTTCATAGACATTCTGAGTAACAGTTGAATCTGGAAACCAAAGGAAAAGGTTGAGCTGTGATGTAAATGCATTATGTCAGTCCCACAGGTGTATCCCTCTGATGCTGAGTTTCTACGAAATTATCTAAGAAACAGGGTAGGATATGGCTGGGCACGGTGGCTCACGTCTGTAATCCCAGCACTTTGGAAGGCTGAGGCGGGTGGATCTCGAGGTCAGAGACCAAGACCATCCTGGCCGACACGGTGAAACCCTGTCTCTACTAAAAATACAAATATTAGCTGGGCGTGGTGGTGCATGCCTGTTATCCCAGCTACTCAGGAGGCTGAGGCAGGAGAATCACTTGAACCCGGGAGGTGGAGATTGCAGCGACCGAGATAGCATCACTGCGCTCCAGCCTGGGTGAGAAAGTGAGAATCAGTTTTGAAAGAAAAAAGAAAAAAGAGAGAGAGAGAGAAAGAAAAAAAGAGAGATAAAGGGAGGAAGGGAGGGAGGGAGGGAGGAAGGACGGATGGAAGGATGATATGCGGCCATCTGAGACCCCTCAAATTGAGAGTAGGAAAGAAAATACAACAAAACCGACTTCTACCATTCATGAACATATGCATGTTAGGGAAACCAACTATTCAGTACTACTAATTAAAAGACATACACAGATCCCTGATACTCATGGATGGAATACCAGCTGCAGTCATATGACCAAGGCATAGTGGAACAGTTGACAAGACTTTATCAGTTTGGGGTTGGCCATTTTCCATCTTCTGTTCATGGACATTTTGAGTGACAGTAGCATCTGAAAACCAAACAAAGAGGTTGAGCTGTGAGGTAAGTGCATTATGACAACCTCACTGGTATATCCCTCTGATCTTTCTAGGAAATTATCTGATAAAGCAGGAGCAGACATCATATGATTCGAGTTCCATCAAATTGAGGTCGGGAAAGATAATTCCCCAAAACCACCTTCATCTCTTCATCATATTGCGCATGCATATGGAATCGTAGTAGGATACTACATCTAATAAACAAACATACACACATCTCTGGTACTCATCACTAGAATACCAGCTCCTGTCATATAAATCTGCTGTGACCGAGCATTTGACAAGACACTATCTGGTTGCAGTTGACCATTTTCCATCCTTTCTTCACGGATATTGTGATTGACGGTAGTATGTGGAAACCAAGTGAAGAGGTTGAGCTCTGAAGTAAGTGCATTATGTCAACCCCACAGGAATATCCCTCTGATGCTCAGTTTCTAGAAAATTATCTAAAAAATCAGGAGAGAATATGCCAGGTGGCCATGTGATATCCCCCAAATGGAGGCTAGGAAAGAATATGAAACAAAACCACCTTCTACCGTTCATGAAAATATGCCTGCTTATGGAAATCAGGTAGGATCGTACAATAAAGAAGCAGAGATACACAGATCTCTGGTCCTCGTGGATGAAATTCTAGGGGCTGCCAAATTACCAAGACCTGGTGGAGCAGTTGAAAACACGGTATGAGGTGCTGGTTGGCCGTTATTCATCTTCTCTTCATGGATGTTGTGAGTCACCGCAGCATCTGGAAACCAAATGAAGTGGTTGAGCTGTGTGTTATGTGCATTACGTCAACTGCACAGGCATACCCCTCGGATGCTCAGTATCTAGGAAATTATCTCATAAAGGAGGAGGACATACCAGTTAGCAATTTCAGAACCCTAAAATTGAGGCCAGAAAAGATAATACAACCAAATTACCATCTTCCCTCATGACGCCATGAATGTATACGGAAACCAAATAGGACAGTACAACAAGTGAACAAACTTACACTGATCACCGAAACCCAGGGATGAAATACCAGCTGCTGTAATATTAATAAGCGCTGATGGAACAGTTGGAAAGACATTATCGGGTGTTGGTTGGCCATTTTTAACCTTTTCTTCACAGACATTGTGAGTGATGCTAGCATCTGGAAACCAAATGAAGAGGCTCAGTTGCAAGATAGGTGTGTTTTGTCCCATCATCCCGGTGAGACAGCTATGTATCAATCAGTTTCTATGGAATTATTCATTTCACGAAACAGAAGGACTTACCACATTGAAACACATATCAGGTCAGATTACACAATAAAACTACGTATGTATCTCTTGGCATAACGATGGTATGTAGTAAGTACGACAGTAGAATAAACATTCACAGATTTCTTGCACTCATCATTTTGCATCATCTTGCTGCCCTTTGCAATTCTCATTTGATATCGCTTTTATAGTTCACCTATACATGCCATGCTGTGCGCAGCAGGAAAGCCAGACTAAGTGAGGCCTTGTTGACTTGCCTCCTTTCTACATCATATAATCTGAGAAAATAGAGGTGGCTATTGGAGTTGAACACTCTTATCTCCACTCCATCGTCACACATCCCTAGTTTTTACGTGATTCTACAGATCCTCCCCTTTTGTCTGGAAAAGTAACATTCTTTTTACTCCAGGTCTGTCACCTCTTTCATTTATTCATTGTCTGTGGCAGGCGGCATGCCAGGAGCTGGGGATCAGCAGTAAAGAGGACGGAGAGCAACGGTCCCTGCCTTTGTGGGACTCATATCCCCATGGGGCAGTCGGACAGGACATACACAATGAGCAAATGAAACAAGTAGCATTGGGCTGGTGTCGGGGAAGTAGTCCACATGCCTGAGGGAGACAGCAGCAGAGGGAGCCTCAGGGGCTCTGGCTCCTTGGGCAGAGCAATCTGAAGAAGTGCCATTGGACAGGGCTTGGAGGAAAAAGCAGAGCCTTCTGTGCAGAGGCAGAGGGAGAGTTCCAGACTGCGGTGAGGCCAAGGGTAGGGGCTGGAGTGGGAATGGACTGGGCACTACAGGGTGTTAGACAGAGGCAAAGAGAGCCAGGAGAAAATGGATGGGACCCTTGTTAGGAGAGGGACAGTTGAGGATGGGATTTTAGGAGGGAAATGGCATGCTGACCTAATTTTCTAGCCACAGGGTTAGAGAGTATGCTACAGATGAGGGAAGATTAGAAAGAGAGCTAAGAAGATGTTGTACTACCTTGGTCAGCGATCACGGCAGTGTGCACTGGAGTGATAGCGGGAAATGGTGGGATGCAGAGTTTATACTGGGCATTGACTGCTGAACTTCATAAGAGATTGGAAATGAGAGAATAATAAAAGAATCATAAGAGAAATCATAAGTGACTTTAAGTATTTTGGGGTGCCCTACTAAGTAAAAGTATACCAGGGATGTGCAGGAGGGGTTAGGCAACCGACTATGGGAGCGGAATGCTGCCAACTCTTCCTGATTCTGGTTCAGTGACCTTATGTCGACAGCTTGAACTAGGCCATGGTGGGATTATTTGTACCGTGGACAGCTGAAAACTCTAAAACCAGGACTTCTGAAACCCCCATACCTGTGAACAGCTGCTTGTTACACCTTTGTGGATGTTTCACCTAATGGACAGTGTCTTTAACTGAAACAGTGAAGGCTGTGAGTAAAGTATTTTTGGAGAGAGGGAGGTCAGAAATTTGAACTTGCAGAGCTGGTTGAAATGTAGATGCCTATTAGACACCCTATAGAGATACTACACGTGTAGTTGTTTATGAGTTTGGATTTCAGGAGCAAGTCGTAGCCTAGAAGTTTAATGGTGACAGTTCTTGTAGTGTGAATCATTTAAAATTCTAAGACAGCATGACATCACATATGGAGATAGGATATTGAAGAGAAGAGAGGCTAGGATCAAGTTTTGGTGCCCTGAAATATTTAGAGGTAGGAAGCAAGAGGAGAAAAACAAAAAAGGAGAAGGAAAACGAGCCCTTAGTAACAGAGTAAGAAATCCAGGTGTCTGGGGACCCAAGAAGTTTTCCGTGCAGGAGGGCGTAAACAACTGTGTCACATGCTGCTGAGGAATTGATGTCAAAGTGCAGCAAACATGGCGACCTTGATGGCACTATTTTCATTGGAGTAGACTAAGAAGAAGCCATACTGCACTGGGTTAGAGAGGAGTGTGTGGTCAGGCGGAAAGTGAGCAGACCTGTCCTCTTGTTGTGCCCACCACCTCCTTCTGCCTCAGGAACCTGCTTTATTCATCTCACGATTGCAGCAACTGCAAATTGTTGCACCTAATTAGAACCTTGCACTTCCACTTGCAAATGTGCTCATATCTGTTCATCCTTCAAGGACAAGGCCACAAATGTCCTTTGACACGATTGAAGCCCAAAGATTGGATTCCCCCTCAGCTTCCTGTTGGTGTAACCACCGGGACGTACCCTGCCTTGTCGTAGAATAATAGCGTCTCTTGGATTTTCTGGAACGTCTCCTTTTCCTTCGATGCCTTCTTGCAGCCTGATTTACTTTGTCCCTCCTCATTTGCTGAAAAACATCAGTGAACATATTCCATTAAAGACAAATACAACCATTGCAAAGTCACAGTCTTCATATGCATACACAGCCATGCATTTATATCATTAAGTTTTAGCCAAAGGTCAAAGATTCATCATCACACACGATGCTCGCAGAAAAGGCAAGCCAACTCTAATGTAGTTTCAGTGAAACAAGCGAAGGCAAAATACAAGGTGTTATGCAAAGTCAAACATGGTACGGTCATGATTAATCAGAGTGCTTGGGGAATGAGTGGCTTTCATCAACCAAGACAAGAAACATGCTTATCTCTCTAATGTAGTACACATAATTGTCTCTCAGCCCTTGTTAGGGGACAAAAAAAAGCAAATACCGTTTTTATTTTTTAGTTGTTGAAAGTTACTTATTAACAAATACTGATTAATACTATATTAGATAATATATGTAGACAGTGAAAGGTAGCATCGATTGAAAAGGTAAATTTTCCCACCTCCAACCTTATGGAGACTCAAATATGTTCATTTTGGAGCCAGGTAGGGGCAGGAGGTGCTTTGAAATATTGGTGGTAAATAAAACATGAAATTGAAGGATATACTAGGTTAACTAAAAGGTCCTGCCATCAAAAGATAACCCGAGAATATGGTCCTGCCTACTTAAAAAGTACTATTTGGCACTATTTCTACTGAAACTATATAAAAAAATTGAAAAGGAGGGACTCCTACTACATTTTAGGAGACCAGCATCATCCGGATACCAAAATCTGGCAGCGATACAGCAACAACAAACACTTCAGGCTGGTGTTCCTGATGAGCAATGACGCAAATATCCTTAATAAAATACTGGCCAACTGAATCGAGCAGCACATCAAAAAACTTATCTACCATGAACAAGTTGGCTTCATTGCCAGGACTCAAGGTCAGTTCAGAATAGGTAAATCAATAAATGTAATTCATCACATAAATAGAACTAAAGGCAAAAACCACATGATTATCTCAATGGATGCAGAAAAGGCCTTTGATAAAATTCAACATCCCATTATATTAAAAGCTCTCGGGCCGGGCGCGGTGGCTCAAGCCTGTAATCCCAGCACTTTGTGAGGCCGAGGCGGGTGGATCACGAGGTTAAGAGATCGAGACCATCCTGCTCAACATGGTGAAACCCCGTCTCTACTAAAAATACAAAAAATTAGCTGGGCATGGTGGCGCGTGCCTGTAATCCCAGCTACTCGGGAGGCTGAGGCAGGAGAATTGCCTGAACCCAGGAGGCGGAGGTTGCGGTGAGCCGAGATTGCGCCATTGCACTCCAACCTGGGTACCAAGAGTGAAACTCCGTCTCAAAAAAAAAAATAGCTCCCAAGAAACCAGGTATTGAATGCACACATCTCCAAACAGTAAGACCCATATATGACAAACTTACAGCCAATATCATATCGAATGGGAAAAAGCTGGAAGCATTCCTCTTGAAACTTGCACAAGACAAGGATGCCCTCCCTCACCAGTCCTGTCCAACATAGTATCAGACGTTCTGGCCAGGGCAATCAGGCAAGACAAAGAAAGAAAGGGTATTCAAATAGGGAAAGAGGACATGAAGTTATCTTTCTTTGCAGATGACATGGCCCCATATATAGAAAATACTATCATCTCAGTCCAAAAGTTTCTGAAGATGATAAGCAACTTCAGCAAACTCTCATGATATAAAATCCATGCGCAAAAATTGCTAGCATCCCTATATACCAAAAACAGGCAAGCAGAGAGCCAAATCATGAATGAACTCCCATTCACAATTGCTACAAAAAGAATAAAATACTTATGAATACAGCTAACAAGGGAAGTGAAGGACTTCCTCAGAGAGAACTTCAAACCACTGCTCAAAGAAATCCAAGAGGACACAAACAAATGGAAAAACACTCCATACTCACGAATAGGAAGAATGAATATCATGAAAATGGCCATACTGCCCAAAGTAATTGAGAGATTCAGTGCTATTCCCATTAAACTATCATGGACATTCTTCACAGAAGTAGAAGAAACTCTTTTAAATTTCATATGGATCCCCCCAAAAAAGCCACAATCGCCAAGACAATCCTAAGCAAAAGGGAGAAAGCTGGAGGCATCATGCTACCTAACTTCAAACTATACCGTGGGGCAACAGTAACCAAGACGACATGATACTGGTAGAGAAACAGATACATGGACCAATGGACCAGATTAGAGAACTTGGAAGTAAGATCACACAATGATAAACATCTGATCTTGACAAACCTGACAAAAATAAGCAATGGAGACAGGATTCCCTATTTAATTAATGATACTGGGAGAATTGGCTAGCCATATACAAAAATTGAAACTGGGCCCCTTCCTTACAACTTATACAAAAATTAACGGAAGATGGATTAAATACTTAAATGTAACATCCAAAACTATAAAAACCCTATAAGAAAATCAAGGCAATATTATTCAGGACATAAGTTCGGCCAAAGATTTCATGACAAAAATGCCAAAAGCCATGGCAACAAAATAAAAATCTGACAAATGGGATCTAATGAAACTAAAAGCCTTCTGCAGAGCAAAATGAACAATGATCAGAGTGAACAGACAACCTACAGAATGGGAGAAAACTTCTGCAATCTGTCTATCTGACAAAGGTCTAATATCCAGAGTCTACAAGAAACTTAAACACATTTACAAAAGAAAACTAAACAACCCCATTAAAAAGTAGGCAAAGGACGTGAACAGACACTTCTCAAAAGAAGATATTCATGCGGCCAACAAACATATGAAGAAAAGCTCAACATCACTGATCATTAGAGAAATGCAAATCAAAGCCATAATAAGATACCATCGCACAGTAGTCAGAATGGCGATTATTAAAACGTCAAAAACTACAGATGCTGGCAAGGTTGCGGAGAAAAAGGAACACTTTTACACTGTTGGTGGGAATGTAAATTACTTCAACCATGTGGAAGACAGTGTGGTGATTCCCAAAAGATCTAGAGGCAGAAATATAACTTGATTCACCAATCAAGTTATACTGGGTATACACCCAAGGAAATAGAAATCATTCCATTATAAAGATATATGCACACGTATATTCATTGCAGCACTATTTACAATAGCAAAGACGTGGAATCAACCCAAATGGCCATCAATGATAGACTGGATCAAGAAAATGTAGTACACATATACCAGGGAACACTATGCAGCCATAAAAAGGAATGAGATCATGTCCTTTGCGGAAACATTGACGGAGCTGGAAGCCATTATCCTCAACAAACTAATGCAGAGAAAGAAAACCAAACAGTGCGTGTTCTCACTTTTAAGTGGGAGCTGAATGATGAGAACACACAGACACATCAGGTAGGGCAACACATGCTGGGTCTTTCTGGGGGAGGGCTGGGGGGAGAGAGTACATCAGGAAGAATAGCTAATGGATGCTGGGCTTAATACCAAGGTGATTGATTGACAGGTGCAGCAAACCACCGTGCCACACATTTACCTATGTAAGAAACCTCCATATCCTGCACATGTACCCCAGAACTTAAAATAATAGGTGAAGTAATAACGAATATGCTCCCGCATTAAATAGGAAAGAGTATCAGCATATATTTCAAGAAATACATATTATATATATATACCATGTAATATATAGAACGTATATAATATATAATTTTGATTTTAAAATTTTCCAAAGCATTCTCACATCCTATAAAAGAGGAGCTGAGAATGTGTGAAGACATTTTTACTGAACATTTACTACCCTCCAGGTACTTTTCTAAATGCTTTGCATGTATTAACTCAATCCTTGGCCAATCCCTATGAGTGAGGTGTGATTCTTATCTCTTTCCTTAAGAAAGCGAAAATAAAGGCACGGAAAATTAGGGAAGAGTCTAATTAATTGAGGAGTGGGAAAGAATACAGACTATGCATTCGAACCCTGGCTCTATGTCCTACCATGTGTCATGTAGGGCAAGCCATTTGACCGCTGTCAGCCTTGATTTCTCATTAAAGGCGAGATAGTAATACACATCTGCAGAACAATTATGAGCATTAAATGTGATAATTAAAAACATCAGCTCCTAGTCCAATGAATCTACTCTTGGACCAAAAAGTTCCCATTTTATGTTCACATGAGAATTCCTGTGTCATATTCTTATCTTTTAAATCAAGAGAATTAACACATATAGTTTATATTCATCTTTCCACTGAGAAAATACTTATACTAAGAATGTCACAATTAGGGCAGAAATAGAAAGTTATCTTACCTGGCCATCATTTGTAAGCACAGAGCCAACAGTGTGACGTTTTCCAGGTGGAGTTGGCTGACTCGTTTGAAGTGGAGAAACCGGCATCTGCAGATATGTCTGATAATTATCTCTGTGTGTTACTAGAACACTTTCATTTATACCTGGAACATAACTGGCACATAAATTGGCACTATACAGCTGAAATATATGATCCTCCTGAGAGCACATGATCACAGACTGTTTTAGCAATGGGTGCCTTGGTAGCAAACAGAGTTTAGAATCTCATATCTAGAATCTATATCATGTTCTGTGATCTATAAATCTCACTTTATCTAAGTGATGACTCACGCTACCATCACGACTTCCTGTAGGTTCACACCACTAGGTTAAACAAATCCCTTATGCCTCCAGCTTAGTTTGAGAGCAGACTGACCTTCCTTATGCCACCATCCCGACTAAAAGATCTATAATTCTAAATAGTAATACTTAAATATTTAGAATGCCAATTTTTGTAATTCCACAAGTTCATCTTTTCAGGCTTAAAGGAGAAGTATGTATTAATGAGCACATACACTTTCCTAGTTGTCCTACCTGCCCATCATTTGTAAAGTCATAGCCAACTGTATGAAGTTCTTCAGGTGGAGAAGGGTGTAGGCTACATGGCATTCTCTTACCTTCCAGGGAACGCTGAGTAGCGGGCCTAACCCTCTTTGGAAAATTTGATGAAATCTACAGATATTTTCCCCTGGAGAAGTACCCTTACACACAAAGTTGGTGTGCAAATTCAGAAGTGTGACGAGCCTAAGATCCGATTAGATTAGTGGACAGGTGACCGCACACAAAATCACCAAATTAGCGGTAAAGAGGGTTTATAAACTGCTGCCAATTATCCTGGATATTATCAGTTTTGTGATTTCCATATAAACAAGGAATTCTCTACCAAACTCACAGCAGTAAGCAGTGTGATATAGTATTTGTGTGTGCAATCTCTGGAATCTGACATACCTAGATTTTGTCACTTTTCCAACTGGTTAAACCTGAAAGAGCTACTTAAATGTGCACCCTAAGATTCTATTTCCGTAAAATGGGCATAAAACAGTACCTAACTCATGGTGCTCTTATAAGGATTATCAGAGATAAAGCACAAAGAAGATAGTGAATGTGCTGGTTGATACATACTTTGAAGCTTAAAAAAAATAAATTTGTGGGATTCAGTGAAAATGAGAAGTCTAAATATTAAAAAAAACAAACTACTCATGCAATAAACACCTTCTTACAAACTAGATTTATATTTTCAAAATTAATAAAACCTGGTACAAAAAACTTGTCTGGTTTCAGCATACCAAATTTCCTTCTGGTTAACTGGTCGAAAATGACTACTACTTGGCAATATCATAAGCATTTCTATATGTTTAAGGTTTCAAATCCTCCTTTATGAAACAAACCATTTGTTATTCCTGAAGTTTTAAACTGATGTATTTCATACTAGCAAGCAGAAAGAGGGGAATGATGAAAATTAAAGAAAATCAGTGAAATAAAAATCAATGAAATAAAAAATTGGTTCACAGAATAGTTGAGAAAAAAAACCTAACTTATCTTTTAGCTTGACTGACCAAGAATAAAAGAAAGGACTACACAGATTACCAAAATCAAGAATGAAAAGGGTGTTATGAATACTGACCTTACAGAAATTAAAAGGGGCCAGGCGCGGTGGCTCACTCCCGTAATCCCAGCACTTTGGGGAGCCGAGACCAGCGGATCACCTGAGGTCAGGAGTTTGAGACCAGCCTGGACAACATGGTGAAACCCTGACTCTACTAAAACACAAAAAATTAGCCGGGCGATATGATGCCACCTGTAACCCCAGCTACCCAGGAGACCGAGACAGAAGAAGTGCTTGAACCAGAAAGGCAGAAGTAGTTATGAGCCCAGATCGCGCCACCACCCTCCATCTTCAGCAAAAGAGTGAGACACCGTCTCACATGCACACACACACAAAGAAAGTGAGAAATTTAAAGACATACATTATGAACACCTTTATGCCAACAAATTAAACAACGCAGGTGAAACAGAGAAATTCCTAGAGAACAAATTACTGACTCAAAAGAAATAGAAATTTGCAATAGGACTATAGCATGGAAAGGTATTTAATTAGTAATTTTAAATCTCCCCACAAATGGAAGGCAAGCCGAGGTGGTTTCGCATGTAAATTCTATCAAACATTTAAGGAAGAAGTAATACCAATACTTAGCAAAGGATTTCAAAAGAATAAAAGAGGAAGGAACACTACTTCATTCTATGAGGCCAATATTACCCTGATATCAAAGCCAGACAAACATATTATAAGATGTTTTTGCCCGTCAGCTCCAAATTCACCCTTTGATTCCGCTGTGTGAGGTTCCGCGTTCCTCTGCCTATGTCCACCGTACTGCCGATACCGAAGGCTGCGCGTAAAGAGGGTTAGAGTTAGCGAAGGGCGGGGACGCCACGCTTCCCGGTTCTTCCGGTTGGCGCCGGCGGTCTCGCAGTGCACGAGGCTTCACTTCGGGACTCTGGCCCCCCCAACAGGCTCCCAGTGTTCGGCTGGGGCGGGGCCCGCGGTGGCCGGCAGCTTCCCTGCCTTCTGCCTCCCTTGAGCCTTACCAGATTGGTGCTTCTGGTGGGACGCCTCCCAATGAGCATCACTCACAGGCATCCGGGGCACACTTCCCATAACTCCCAGAGAGCAAGTTTCTAGAAAGTTCCAGCAGTGGGGAGGCGCCACAACTTCTCTGCCATTTTGGGAAGTGCAGCCGCAGCTCCTCCGGCAAGGTCAAGACTTCACGACCACGTAAGTGGGCAGTTTTTCCCTGGATGCTTTAATTTCTCCCCAGAAGGTGTCCTTTTTCCTAGGAAAGCTTCTTTTCTGGGGTGTTCTTTGTCCGGTGAGTGGTACGGCTTCGCTCTGTGGACACTACCATGGGCGCGTGTGTCAGCTGTCGGGGAGTCTTTTCCTTGGACACCCCGTCTCGGTTATGTTGTGGGGCTGGGGAGCTTTTCTTGGGGACTCCCTCTTAGTGATGCGACGAACTTTTCCTGTGCAATGACTGAACCCAAGGGTGGGGACCCTACATTGGTCGCCTGTGTCACCTTTGGGTGCGGCGGTGTTTCTTCCCCGCTTGGCCACGACCCTGCGGGGAGACTCTGCCTTAGGGACTCTGTCTGTGTTCGGGGCTGGGGTGAGGGTGGCTGTCCTGCGGACACATGATCACTGCCCTGTGGGTTCACTCTCTGTCGCGGGGTTTATCTCAGCCCGCGAGAGACTCTTCGCTGGGTGCTGATGTCAGCCGTGGGGCACATTTGGCCTTGGATGTTGCTCACTCTCAGCTAGGATGTGTTGGCTTTTCTTTGGATCTGTTTATCCCCGATTGGGACGCCTATCGGATGCTTTCTCTTGGTGCTGGGTTTTTAAATTATTATCTGTGGGTGCTGTCTCCCAGTGCTGCGAGGGAGTGGGGTGCTGTTTCTTGGATTCTCTAAGCCTATGGTGGGACTCTCAGAGCTCTGTGTCAGCCATGAGGGAGGCCACCTGACCTTGGGAGCTCTATCTTGCCCCGGGTTGGGGTGCTTTTCCTCCGTTGGTTCTCAGTCGTGAAGGAGCTCTTTCCCCGGGAACTATCTCACCTTTCAGCCGTACCCATCGGGTGTCTGTGTAGGAAACATTTCTGTCCAGAAATGTTTGAAGGTTCCAGATGCACACCCTGGGTGTGCAATTAGTCTTTCATTTCAGCCACTCTGATGAGTGTGCAGTGATCTCTCCTTATGTCTGCATTTGCAGTTTTGGGCATGCCGCCAAGTCTGGCTAATCGTTGTATTTTTTGGTAGAGACGGCGTTTCGCCAAGTTGCCCAGGCTGGTCTCGAACCCTTGGGCTCAAGTGGCCTCTGCCTGCATCAGCCTCCCAAGGTGCTGGGATTACAGGTATGAGCCACTGTGCCCACCTATTTATTATTTTTAGAGCACTTTTTAAATGTGTTTATTCGCCATTTAAATATGTCTTTTACGAAGTCCCTTTTCAGCACTTTTCCTCCAAATTTTATTGAGATATTTGTATTTTAAAAATGGATTCGTGGTTTACATATAAGTTCTGGGTTTCAGTTAGACACATACACACAGGCATATATGTACATGTATTAAAATACACACACAATTTTAGTATCTTCTACAAATCTGTTTTGCTCTTACACTATCTCAATATTGTGTTTTAGATGAACAGATTCTCTTAATTTTATTAATCAGTTTCTTGTTTAGGGCTGGTGCTTCCTATTATTTTAAGAATAATCTTTGCCTCGCCCAATGCCATGATGATAATATTCTAAGCTGTCTTTTAGATCTCCCATTCATCTCAAATAAATTTTCATGGATTGGAGTAAAGTCATAGTCTGGGTATATTTTATGTGATGATTAAAGTCATATTTGAGTATGACTCTTATGAATGAGTACTCAGCTGTTTCCCGCACGTTTTATTGCAATGTTTATTTTTTAAAATTGATTTGTAGTTCTGGTTATATTCTGGATTCCACTCATTTTTTTGTCAGATATATACATATATATGATTAATGTATATTTTTATATATAACCTATACTATATATTATATAATATGTAATCTACAGATATGCTTTGCTTTTTCACTCCTAAGACTGTCTTTTGAGGAATACAGGTTTTACATTTAATTATGTCTAATTAAACAATGTATTCTTTATCGTTAGTGCCTTTTTATCCTAATCAAAAATACCTTGGCCTATTCTAAAGCTGTAACACTAATATCTTATGTTTTGTACTGGATTTACTATCCATCTTTAGTAACTTTTTCTGGAGTGGGATGGGGTAAGAGTCCAAGTTAGTATTTTCCCTGCATTTATGAAGTGCATTTTTTAAAAGCACTAGTCTTTCCACTCTTCTGTGGTAAATCTAGCTGTTTTCCATTTCTAGATCCTTTCTGGCCTCCATGTCCTCTACCTTTAGTGTATTTGTCTGTCATTGCTCCAATACCATACTGTTTCAATTACTCTACCTTTATAGTAAATCTCGTGTTTAGTAGTGTATGTCTACAAACTTAGTTCTTTTTCTTAAATATTGTCTTAGCTTTTCCAAATATATATATGTTCCTTTTTCTCCGCAACCTTGCCAGCATCTCTAGTTTTTTGACGTTTTAATAATCGCCATTCTGACTAGTGTGCGATGGTATCTTATTATGGTTTTGATTTGCATTTCTCTAATGATCAGTGATGTTGAGCTTTTCTTCATATGTTTGTTGGCCGCATGAATATCTTCTTTTGAGAAGTGTCTGTTCACGTCCTTTGCATACTTTTTAATGGGGTTGTTTAGTTTTCTTTTGTAAATGTGTTTAAGTTTCTTGTAGACTCTGGATATTAGACCTTTGTCAGATAGACAGATTGCAGAAGTTTTCTCCCATTCTGTAGGTTGTCTGTTCACTCTGATTATTGTTCATTTTGCTCTGCAGAAGGCTTTTAGTTTCATTAGATACCATTTGTCAGATTTTATTTTGTTGCCATGGCTTTTGGCATTTTTGTCATGAAATCTTTGGCCGAACTTATGTCCTGAATAATATTGCCTTGATTTTCTTATAGGGTTTTTATAGTTTTGGATGTTACATTTAAGTATTTAATCCATCTTCCGTTAATTTTTGTATAAGTTGTAAGGAAGGGGCCCAGTTTCAATTTTTGTATATGGCTAGCCAATTCTCCCAGTATCATTAATTAAATAGGGAATCCTGTCTCCATTGCTTATTTTTGTCAGGTTTGTCAAGATCAGATGTTTATCATTGTGTGATCTTACTTCCAAGTTCTCTAATCTGGTCCATTGGTCCATGTATCTGTTTCTCTACCAGTACCATGCCGTCTTGGTTACTGTTGCCCCACGGTATAGTTTGAAGTTAGGTAGCATGATGCCTCCAGCTTTCTCCCTTTTGCTTAGGATTGTCTTGGCGATTGTGGCTTTTTTGCGGGGGATCCATATGAAATTTAAAAGAGTTTCTTCTACTTCTGTGAAGAATGTCCATGGTAGTTTAATGGGAATAGCATTGAATCTCTCAATTACTTTGGGCAGTATGGCCATTTTCACGATATTCATTCTTCCTATCCGTGAGCATGGAGTGTTTTTCCATTTGATTTCTTTGAGCAGTGGTTTGAAGTTCCCTCTGAGGAAGTCCTTCACTTCCCTTGTTAGCTGTAATCATAAGTATTTTATTCTTTTTGTAGCAATTGTGAATGGGAGTTCATTCATGATTTGGCTCTCTGCTTGCCTTTTTTTGGTATACAGGGATGCTAGCAATTTTTGCGCATGGATTTTATATCATGAGAGTTTGCTGAAGTTGCTTATCCTCTTCAGAAACTTTTGGACTGAGATGATGGTATTTTCTATATATGGGGCCATGTCATCTGCAAACAAAGATAACTTCATGTCCTCTTTCCCTATTTGAATAGCCTTTCTTTCTTTGTCTTGCCTGATTGCCCTGGCCAGAACGTCTGATACTATGTTGGAGAGGACTGGTGAGGGAGGGCATCCTTGTCTTGTGCAAGTTTCAAGAGGAATGCTTCCAGCTTTTTCCCATTCGATATGATATTGGCTGTGAGTTTGTCATATATGACTCTTACTGTCTTGAGATGTATTCATTCAATACCTGGTTTCTTTAGAGCTTTTTTTTTTTTTTTTTTTTTTTTTGAGACGGAGTTTCGCTCTTGTTACCCAGGTTGGAGTGCAATGGCACAATCTCGGCTCACCACAACCTCCACCTCCTGGGTTCAGGCAATTCTCCTCCCTCAGCCTCCCGAGTACCTGGGATTACAGGCACGTGCTACCATGCCCAGCTAATTTTTTGTATTTTAATTAGAGACGGGGTTTCACCATGTTGACCAGGATGGTCTCGATCTCTTAACCTCGTGATCCACCCGCCTCGGCCTCCCAAAGTGCTGGGATTACAGGCTTGAGCCACCGCGCCCGGCCCGAGAGCTTTTAATATAATGGGATGTTGAATTTTATCAAAGGCCTTTTCTGCATCCATTGAGATAATCATGTGGTTTTCGCCTTTAGTTCTATTTATGTGATGAATTACATTTATTGATTTACCTATTCTGAACTGACCTTGAGTCCTGGCAATGAAGCCAACTTCATCATGGTAGATAAGTTTTTTGATGTGCTGCTCGATTCAGTTGGCCAGGATTTTATTAAGGATTTTTGTGTCATTGTTCATCAGGAACACCAGCCTGAAGTGTTTGTTGTTGCTGTATCGCTGCCAGATTTTGGTATCCGGATGATGCTGGTCTCCTAAAATGTAGTAGGAGTCCCTCCTTTTCAATTTTTTTATATACTTTCAGTAGAAATAGTGCCAAATTGTACTTTTTTAGTAGGCAGGAGCATATGCTCGGGTTATCTTTTGATGGCAGGACCTTTTAGTTAACCTAGTATATCCTTCAATTTCATGTCTTATTTACCACCAATATTTCAAAGCACCTCCTGCCCCTGCCTGGCTCCAAAATGAACATATTTGAGTCACCATAAGCTTGGAGGTGGGAAAATTTACCTTTTCAATCGATGCTACCTTTCACTGTCTACGTATATTATCTAATAATGTATTAATCAGTATTTGTTAATAAGTAACTTTCAACAACTAAAAAATAAAAACGGTATTTGCTTTTTTTTGTCCCCTAACAAGGGCTGAGAGACAATTATGTGTACTACATTAGAGAGATAAGCATGTTTCTTGCCTTGGTTGATGAAAGCCACTCATTCCCCAAGCACTCCGATTAATCGTGACTGTACCATTTTTGACTTTGGATAACACCTTGTATTTTGCCTTCGCTTGTTTCACTGAAACTACATTATAGTTGGCTTGCCTCTTCTGTGAGCATCGTGTGTGATGATGAATCTTTGACCTTTGGCTAAAACTTAATGATATAAATGCATGGCTGTGTATGCATATGAAGACTGTGACTTTGCAATGGTTGTATTTGTCTTTAATGCAATATGTTCACTGATGTTTTTCAGCAAATGAGGAGTGACAAAGTAAATCAGGCTGCAAGAAGGCATCGAAGGAAAAGGAGTCGTTCCAGAAAATCCAAGAGACGCTATTATTCTACGACAAGGCAGGGTACGTCCCTGTGGTTACACCAACAGGAAGCTGAGGGGGAATCCAATCTTTGGGCTTCAATCCTGTCAAAGGACATTTGTGGTCTTGTCCTTGAAGGATGAACAGATATGAGCACATTTGCAAGTGGAAGGGCAAGGTTCTAATTAGGTGCAACAATTTGCAGTTGCTGCAAGCGTGAGATGAATAAAGCAGGTTCCTGAGGCAGAAGGAGGTGGTGGGCACAACAAGGGGACAGGTCTGCTCACTTTCCGCCTGTCCACACACTCCTCTCTAACCCAGTGCAGTATGGCTTCTTCTTAGTCTACTCCAATGAAAATAGTGCCATCGAGGTCGCCATGTTTGCTGCACTTTGACATCAATTCCTCAGCAGCATGTGACACAGTTGTTTACGCCCTCCTGCACGGAAAACTTCTTGGGTCCCCAGACACCTGGATTTCTTACTCTGTTACTAAGGGCTCATTTTCCTTCTCCTTTTTTGTTTTTCTCCTCTTCCTTCCCACCTCTAAATATTTCAGGGCGCCAAAACTTGATCTTATCCTCTCTTCTCTTCAATATCCTATCTCCTTAGGTGATGTCATGCTGTCTTAGAATTTTAAATGATTCACACTACAAGAACTGTCACCATTAAACTTCTAGGCTACGACTTGCTCCTGAAATCCAAACTCATAAACAACTACACGTGTTGTATCTCTATAGGGTGTCTAATAGGCATCTACATTTCAACCAGCTCTGCAAGTTCAAATTTCTGACCTCCCTCTCTCCAAAAATACTTTACTGGCAGCCTTCACTGTTTCAGTTAAAGACACTGTCCATTAGGTGAAACATCCACAAAGGTGTAACAAGCAGCTGTTCACAGGTATGGGGGATTCAGAAGTCCTGATTTTAGAGTTTTCAGCTGTCCACGGTACAAATAATCCCACCATGGCCTAGTTCAAGCTGTCGACATAAGGTCACTGAACCAGAATCAGGAAGAGTTGGCAGCATTCCGCTCCCGTAGTCGGTTGCCTAACCCCTCCTGCACATGCCTGGTATACTTTTACTTAGTAGGTCACCCCAAAATACTTAAAGTCACTTATGATTTCTCTTATGATTCTTTTATTATTCTCTCATTTCCAATCTCTTATGAAGTTCAGCAGTCAATGCCCAGTATAAACTCTGCATCCCACCATTTCCCTCTATCCCTCCAGTGCACACTGCCGTGATCGCTGACCAAGGTAGTACAACATCTTCTTAGCTCTGTTTCTAATCTTCCCTCATCTGTAGCATACTCTCTAACCCTGTGGCTAGAAAATTATGTCAGCATGCCATTTCCCTCCTAAAACCCCATCCTCAACTCTCCCTCTCCTAACAAGGGTCCCATCCATTTCCTCCTGGCTCTGTTTGCCTCTGTCTAACACCCTGTAGTGCCCAGTCCATTCCCACTCCAGCCCCTACCCTTGGCCTCACCGCAGTCTGGAACTCTCCCTCTGCCTCTCCACAGAAGGCTCTGCTTTTTCCTCCAAGCCCTGTCCAATGGCACTTCTTCAGATGGCTCTGCACAAGGAGCCAGAGCCCCTGAGGCTCCCTCTGCTGCTGTCTCCCTCAGGCCTGTGGACTACTTCCCCGACACCAGCCCAATGCTACTTGTTTCATTTGCTCATTGTGTATGTCCTGTCCGACTGCCCCATGGGGATATGAGTCCCACAAAGGCAGGGACCGTTGCTCTCCGTCCTCTTTACTGCTGATCCCCAGCTCCTGGCATGCCGCCTGCCACAGACAATGAATAAATGAAAGAGGTGACAGACCTGGAGTAAAAAGAATGTTACTTTTCCAGACAAAAGGGGAGGATCTGTAGAATCACGTAAAAACTAGAGATGTGTGACGATGGAGTGGAGATAAGAGTGTTCAACTCCAATAGCCACCTCTATTTTCTCAGATTATATGAGGTAGATAGGAGGCAAGTTAACAAGGCCTCACTTAGTCTGGCTTTCCTGCTGCGCACAGCATGGCATGTATAGGTGAACTATAAAAGCGATATCAAGTGAGAATTGTAAAGGGCAGCAAGATGATACAAAATGATGAGTGCAAGAAATCTGTGAATGTTTATTCTACTGTCGTACTTACTACATACCATCGTTATGCCAAGAGATACATACGTAGTTTTATTGTGTAATCTGACCTGATATATGTTTCCATGTGGTAAGTCCTTCTGTTTCGTGAAATGAATAATTCCATAGAAACTGATTCATACATAGCTGTCTCACCGGGATGATGGGACAAAACACACCTATCTTGCACCTGAGCCTCTTCATTTGGATTCCAGATGCTAGCGTCACTAACAATGTCTGTGAAGAAAAGGTTAAAAATGGCCAACCAACACCCGATAATGTCTTTCCAACTGTTCCATCAGCGCTTATTAATATGGTAGCAGCTGGTATTTCATCCCTGGGTTTCGGCGATCAGTGTAAGTTTGTTCACTTGTTGTACTGTCCTATTTGGTTTCCGTATACATTCATGGCGTCATGAGGGAAGATGGTAATTTTGTTTTATTGTCTTTTCTGGCCTCAATTTTAGGGTTCTGAGATTGCTAACTGGTATGTCCTCCTCCTTTATGAGATAATTTCCTAGATACTGAGCATCCGAGGGGTATGCCTGTGCAGTTGACGTAATGCACATAACACACAGCTCAACCACTTCATTTGGTTTCCAGATGCTGCAGTGACTCACAACATCCATGAAGAGAAGATGAATAACGGCCAACCAGCACCTCATACTGTCTTTTCAACTGCTCCACCAGGTCTTGGTAATTTGGCAGCCCCTAGAATTTCATCCACGAGGACCAGAGATCTGTGTATCTCTGCTTCTTTATTGTACTATCCTACCTGATTTCCATAAGCAGGCATATTTTCATGAACGGTAGAAGGTGGTTTTGTTGCATATTCTTTCCTAGACTCCATTTGGGGGATATCACATGGCCACCTGGCATATTCTCTCCTGATTTTTTAGATAATTTTCTAGAAACTGAGCATCAGAGGGATATTCCTGTGGGGTTGACATAATGCACTTACTTCAGAGCTCAACCTCTTCACTTGGTTTCCACATACTACCGTCAATCACAATATCCGTGAAGAAAGGATGGAAAATGGTCAACTGCAACCAGATAGTGTCTTGTGAAATGTTCGGCCACAGCTGATTTATATGACAGGAGCTGGTATTCTAGTGATGAGTACCAGAGATGTGTGTATGTTTGTTTATTAGATGTAGTATCCTACTAGGATTCCATATTCATGCGTAATGTCATGAAGAGGAGAATGTGGTTTTGGTGAATTATCTTTCCCAACCTCAATTTGATGGAACTCGAATCATTATATGATGTCTGCTCCTGCTTTATCAGATAATTTCCTAGAAAGTGAAGATCAGAGGGATATACCAGTGAGGTTGTCATAATGCACTTACCTCACAGCTCAACCTCTTTGTTTGGTTTTCAGATGCTACTGTCACTCAAAATGTCCATGAACAGAAGATGGAAAATGGCCAACCCCAAACTGATAAAGTCTTGTCAACTGTTCCACTATGCCTTGGTCATATGACTGCAGCTGGTATTCCATCCATGAGTATCAGGGATCTGTGTATGTCTTTTAATTAGTAGTACTGAATAGTTGGTTTCCCTAACATGCATATGTTCATGAATGGTAGAAGTCGGTTTTGTTGTATTTTCTTTCCTACTCTCAATTTGAGGGGTCTCAGATGGCCGCATATCATCCGTATATCCGTCCGTCCTTCCTTCCTTCCTTCCTCTTTTATCTCCCTTTTTTTCTTTCTCTCTCTCTCTCTGTTTTTTCTTTTTTTTCTTTCAAAACTGATTCTCACTCTCTCGCCCAGGCTGGAGCGCAGTGATGCTATCTCGGTCGCTGCAATCTCCACCTCCCGGGTTCAAGTGATTCTCCGGCCTCAGCCTCCTGAGTAGCTGGGATAACAGGCATGCACCACCACGCCCAGCTAATATTTGTATTTTTAGTAGAGACAGGGTTTCACCGTGTCGGCCAGGATGGTCTTGATCTCTTGACCTCGAGATTCACCCGCCTCAGCCTTCCAAAGTGCTGGGATTACAGACGTGAGCCACCGTGCCCAGCCATATCCTACCCTGTTTCTTAGATAATTTCGTAGAAACTGAGCATCAGAGGGATACACCTGTGGGACTGACATAATGCATTTACATCACAGCTCAACCTTTTCCTTTGGTTTCCAGATTCTACTGTTCCTCAGAATGTCTGTGAAGAGAAGATAGAAAATGAACAAATGGCACCTGATAGATTCTTGTCAAGTGTTATAGAAGGGCTTATAAATTTCGCAGGGGCTGGTATTCCACCCCTGAGTACTGGGGATCAGCGTATGTTTGTTTACTAGTTATAATGTCCTACTGGGTTTCCGTATGCGTGCAATGACATGCAGGGAAAATGGTGGTTTTCTTTTATTATTGTTTCTGTTCTGAATTTCTCGGGTCTCATTTTCCACCTGATATGTCCTGCTTTATGGGTTAACTTCATAGAAACTGACCACCAGAGGGATATACCTGTGGGGTTGACATAATGCACTTTCCTCAGAGCTTGAACTCTTCATTTGGTTTCCAGATGCTACCGTCACTCACAATATCAATGAAGAGAGAATGAAAAATGGCCAGCCCCAACATGGTAACGTCTTGTCAACTGATTTTACAGGGCTTTGTAATATGATAGCAACTGCTATTCCGGCCATGAGTCCCAGAGATCGCTATATGTCCGCTTATAAGTTGTACTGTCCTACTTGCTTTTCACAAGCATGCGTAGTGCCTTCTGAAGGGAAGCAGGTGGCTTTCTTGTATTATATTTTCTGAACTAAATCTGAGTGGTCCCAGATATATACACCACCTTATATATCCTCCTGCTTTATGAAATAATTTTATGGAAAGTGAGCATCAGAGGGATATAATTATGGTTTGGCCTAATGCACTTACCTCACAGCTCAACCTCTTTCTTTGATTTCCAGACGCTACAATCACTCACAGCGTCCATGAACAGAAGATGGGATATGTCCAACCAGCACCTGACAACGTGTTGTTGACTCTTCAGCCAGGACTTATTAATATGGCAGCCACTGGTATTTCATCCATGAGTACCAGGGATCTGGGTAAGTTTGTTTGTTAGTATTATTGTCCCACTTGGTTTCCATATGCATGTATAGTGTCAAAAAAGGTAGGAGGTGGTTGTGTTATACTATGTTTCCAGGCCTCAATTTCAGGGGTCTCAGATGGCAACCTGGTATATCCTCTGGTTTATGAGATAATTTCCTAGAAACTGAGCACAGATATACCTGTGGGGTTACCATAATACACTTACTCACAGCTCTTCATTTGGTTTCCAGATGCTACCAAAACTTATAATGTCCTTAAGGAGAAGATGGAAAAGGGCGAACCCCAACATGGCAACATCTCATCAACTGCTCCAATAGGACTTACTAATGTGGCAGGAGCTGCTATTCCAGCCATGAGTACCGATGGTCTGTGTATGTTCACTTTTTAGTTGGATTTTCCTACTTTGTTTCCATATGCATTTATATTGTCAGGAAGCGGAGATGGAGATCTTGTTGTATTATCTTTCTTGATATGAGTTTGAGGGGTCCCAGATGCCGCTCATGTCATCTTGATTTGTGCAAAAATTTCTCAGGAGCTGAGCATCAGAGGGATATACCTGTGGGGGCGGCATAATGCACCTACTCCTATCTTGACCTCTTCATTTGTTTTCCAGATGCCACCGTCAGTCACAATGTCCATGAACAGAGGATGGAAAATGACCAACCACAACAGGATAACGTCTGGCTAAATATTCTAGCATGGTTTATTAATATGGCAGGAGCTGGTATTCCAGCAATGAGTACCAGGGATCTGTGTATGTTCATTTTTTACTTGTACTGTCCTCCTTGGTTTCCATATGCAGGCATAGTGCCATGAAGGGAAGAAGCTTGTTTTGTGAATTGTCTTCCTTGGCCTCAATTTGAGGAGCCGCAGATCATCATTTGATGTGTTCTTTTGCTTTATGGGATAATTTCCTAGGAACTGATCGTCAGTGGCATTGACGTAATTCACTTAATTCAAGCTCAAAATCTTCCTTTGGTTTCCAGATGGTACCATCTCTCACAATGTACATGAAGAGAAGATGGAAAATGGCCCATCCCAAACTGGTAATATCATGTCCCCTGTTCCACCACTGCTTGGTCTTATGGTAGCAGCTGCTCTTCCATGCATGAGTACCAGGGATCTGTGTATGTCTCTTAATTAGTTGCAGTGTCATCACTGGTTTCCATATGATTGCATATTTCATGAAAGGTAGAAGGTGGTTTTATAGCATATACTTTCCTGGGATCAATTGGAGGGTTCTCACAGGGCCACCTGGCATATCCTCCCCTGCTTTATTAGATAATTTCCTAGAAACTGAGCGTCAGAGAGATAGACCTATAGGGCTGATATAATGCACTTAGCTCACAGCTGAAACTCTTCATGTGGTTTGCAGGTTTTACCATTGCTCAAAATGTCTGTGAAGAAAAGATAAAAAGTGACAAAACAACACCTCATGAATTCTTGTCAACTATTACAGCAGGGCTTAGGAATTTCACAGAAGCAGGTATTCAACCCCCGAATACCAGGGATCTCTGCATGTTTATTTACTAACTACGTTGTGCTACTTGGTTTCCATAAACATGCAGTATCATGCAGGGAAAAAGGTGCTTTGGTTGTATTATCTTTTCCGACCTAAACTTGAAGGGTCTCAGATCGCCACCTGATACAGCCTCTTGTGTGATGCAACAATTTCTTAAATCTCATTGTCAGAAAAACATACATGTGGCAGTGACATAAGCACTTACCTCACAGCTCAACCACTTCCTTTGATTTCCAGATGCTGCATTCACTCACAACGTCCGTGAAGAGAAGATAAATCACCGCCAATCAGCACCTGATAACGTCTTATCAGTTGCTCCACCAGGGCTTGGTAATTTGGCAGCTGGAATTTCATCCACGAGGACCAGAGATCTGTGTATGTCTGCTTCTTAGTTGTACTGTCCTACTTGGTTTCCCTAAGGGGCATTGTTTGATGAATGCTACAAGTCAATTTTGTTCTATATACGTTCCTCACCTCAAATCAAGGGGTATCTGATGTGCACTTGGCATATTCACCCATGCTTTCTTTGATAATTTCCTTGAAAGTGAGCATCAGAGGGATATTATACCAGTGGGGTTGACATAATGCACTTACCTCACAGCTCAACCTCTTCATTTGGTTTTCAGGTGCTACTGTCACTCAAAATGTCCACAAAGAGAAGATGAGAAATATGCAACCAACACCTAATAACGTCTTGTCAACTGTTCTACCAGAACATCCTTATTTGGCAACAGCAGGTCTCCCAGCCATGAGCACCAGGGATCGGTGTATGTTTGCTTATTCATTTATACTATCCTACTTCGTTTTCATAGGCATGCCTAGTGTCCTGAATGGGAGAAGCTGATTTTGTTGTATTCTCATTCATGAGCTGCATTTGAATGTTCTCAGATCGCCATCTGGCATATCCTCTTCAGCTTTATGAAATAGTTTTCTAGAAACTGAGTATCAGGAGGATATGCCTGTAGAGTTGACATAGTACACATGACTCAAAACTGAACCTCCTGATTTCATTTCCAGATTCTACCATCACTCACAATGTCCGTGAGGAGAAGATTAAAAATGCCCAAACGGCACCCAATAATGTCTTCTCAGCTATTCCACCAGCACGTATTAATATGGCAGCAGTGGGTGTTTCATCCATGAGTACCAGGGATCAGTGTACGTTTGCTCACTTGGCGTACTGTCCTACCTGGTTTCTATATGCATGCGTAGTGCCATGAGAAAAGAATACACTGTTGTTGTACTATCTTTACTGGCCTCAACTTTACGGTTTTCAGACTGCTACTTGGTATGTCCTTCTTCTTTATGAGATCATTTCCTCGATACTGAGCATCCGAGCGGTATGACTGTGTGGTTGACATAATGCATGAAACACACAGCTAAACCACTTCATTTGGGTTCCAGATGCTGCGGTCACTCGCAACGTCTGTGAAGAGAAGATAAATAACCGCCTACCAGCACCTGATAACGTCTTGTCAACGGCTCTACCAGGACTTGGTAATTTGGCAGCAGCTGGAGTTTCATCCACGGGGACCAGAGATCTGTGTATGTCTGCTTCTTAGTTGTACCGTCCTACTTGGTTTCTTTAAGGGGCATTGTTTGATGAATGCTACAAGTCAATTTTGTTCTATATACGTTCCTCACCTCAATTCGAGGGGTATCTGATGTGCACTTGGCATATTCACCCATGCTTTCTGTGATAATTTCCTTGAAATTGAGCATCAGAGGGATATCATACCAGTGGGGTTGACATAATGCACTTACCTCACAGCTCAACCACTTCACTTGGTTTTCAGATGCTGCAGTCACTCATAAAATCCTTGAAGAGACGATAAATAACGGCCAATCAGCACCTGATAACCTCTTGTCAACTGCTCCACCAGGTCTTGGTAATATGACAGCAACTGGACTTTCATCTACGAGGACCAGAGATCTGTGTACGTCTGCGTCTTAATTGTACTGTCCTACTTGGTTTCCCTAAGGAGGCATTGTTTGATGAATGCTACAAGTTAATTTTGTTGGATATAGTTTACTAGCATCAATTTGAGGGGTATCAGATGGCCACGTGGCATATCAACCCTTGGATCCTTTGATAATTTCCTAGAAAGTGAGGATCAGAGGGATATACCTCTGGGGTTGACACACTGCACTTCCATCAAAGCTCAACCTCTTCATTTGGTTTTCAGATGCTACCATCACTCAAAATGTCTGCAAAGAGAAGATGGAAAATGACCAACCAACACCTAATAAGGTCTTGTCAACTGTTCTCCAAGGACTTCCTTATTTGGCAACAGCTGGTCTCCCAGCCATGAGCACCAGGGATCAGTGTATGTTTGCTTATTCATTTGGACTATCCTACCTGGTTTTCATAGGCATGCTTAGTGTCCTGAATGGGAGAAGGTGATTTTGTTGTATTGTCTTTCGTGAGCTGCATTTGAGTGTTCTCAGATCGCCACCTGGCATATCCTCTCTGGATTTCTGGAATAATTTTCTAGAAAGTGAGCATCAGGAGGATATACCAGTGGGTTTAACATAATGCACGTAACTCAAAACTGAACCCCTTCATTTCATTTCCAGATGGTATGATCTCTCACAATGTCTGTGAGAAGAAGATTAAAAATGCCCAAGCAGTACCCGATAAAACCTTTCCAGCTAGTCCCCCAGCACTTATTAATATGGCAGCAGCTGTTGTGTCATCCATGAGCACCAGGGATCAGTGTACCTTTGTGCAATTGGTTTACTATCCTACTAGGTTTCCTTATGCGTGCATAGTGTCATGAGGGAAGAATGTAGTTTTGCTGTACTATCTTTCCTGGCCTTAATCTTAAGGTTCTCAGAGTGCTACTTGGTATGTCTTTCTTCTTTATGAGATAATTTCCTGGATACTGAGCATCAGAGGGGTATGCTGTGGTTGACATAATGCACTTCCCTCACAGCCCAGTCATTTCTCTTGGTTTCCAGATGCTGCAGTCACTCACAATGTCCGTGAAGCCAAGATAAATAACGGCCAACTAGCACCTGACAATGTCTTGTCAGCTGCTCCACCAGGTCTTGGTAATACGGCAACAGCTGGAATTTCATCCACAAGGAACACAGGTTTGTGTAGGTCTGCTTCTTTGTCATACCGTCTGACTTGATTTCTCTAAGGAAGCCTAGATCAATGAAAGCTACAAGTTCATTTTGTTGTATACATGTTCCTAGCGTCAATTTGAGGGGTATCAGATAGCCACATGGCATATGCAACTTTGCTATCTTTGATAATTTTCTAGAAACTGAGGATCAGACAGAAATACCTCTGGGGTTGACATAATGGACTTACTTCACAGCTCAACCTCTTCATTTGTTTTCAGATGCTAACATCACTCAAAATGTCCGCAAAGAGAAGATGGAAAACAACCAACCAACACCTAATAACGTCTTGTCAACTGTTCTGCAAGGACTTCCATATTTGGCAACAGCTGGTCTCCCAGCCATAAGCACCAGGGATCAGTGTATGTTTGCTTATTCATTTGGACTATCCTACTTGGTTTTAATAGGCATGCCTAGTGTCCTGAATGGGAGAAGGTGATTTTGTTGTATTATCTTCTGTGAGATGCATTTGAGTGTTCTCAGATCGCCATCTGGCACATCCTCTTCAGCTTTATGAAATAGTTTTCTAGAAACTGAGTATCAGGAGGATATACATGTAGAGTTGACAGTACACATAACTCAAATCTGAACCTCCTGATTTCATTTCCAGATTCTACCATCACTCACAATGTCCATGAGGAGAAGATTAAAAATGCCCAAACGGCACCCAATAATGTCTTCTCAGCTATTCCACCAGCACGTATTAATACGGCAGCAGCGGGTGTTTCATCCATGAGTACCAGGGATCAGTGTACGTTTGTTCACTTGGCGTGCTGTCCTACTTGGTTTCCATATGCATGCGTAGTGTCATGAGAAAAGAATACAGTGTTGTTGTACTATCTTTACTGGCCTCAAATTTACGGTTCTCAGACTGCTACTTGGTATGTCCTTCTTCTTTATGAGATAATTTCCTCGATATTGAGCATCCGAGCGGTATGCCTGTGCGGTTGACATAATGCATGAAACACACAGCTCAACCACTTCATTTGGTTTCCAGATGCTGCAGTGACTCACAACGTCCATGAAGAGAAGATGAATAACGGCCAACCAGCACTTCATACTGTGTTTTTAACTGCTCCACCAGGTCTTGGTAATTTGGCAGCCCCTAGAATTTCATCCACGAGGACCAGAGATCTGTGTATGTCTGCTTCTTTATTGTACTATCCTACCTGATTTCCATAAGCAGGCATATTTTCATGAACGGTAGAAGGTGGTTTTGTTTCATATTCTTTACTAGCCTCCATTTGGGGGATATCAGATGGCCACCTGGCATATTCTCTCCTGATTTTTTAGATAATTTTCTAGAAACTGAGCATCAGAGGGATATTCCTGTGGGGTTGACATAATGCACTTACTTCAGAGCTCAACCTCTTCACTTGGTTTCCACCTACTACCGTCAATCACAATATCCCTGAGGAAAGGATGGAAAATGGTCAACTGCAACCAGATAGTGTCTTGTCAAATGTTCGGTCACAGCTCATTTATATGACAGGATCTGGTATTCTAGTGATGAATACCAGAGATGTGTGTATGTTTGTTTATTAGATGTAGTATCCTACTAGGATTCCATATGCATGCGTAATGTCATGGAGAGGAGAAGGTCGTTTTGGTGACTTATCTTTCCCAACCTCAATTTGATGGAACTCGAATCATTATATGATGTCTGCTCCTGCTTTATCAGATAATTTCCTAGAAAGTGAAGATCAGAGTGATATACCAGTGAGGTTGTCATAATGCACTTACCTCACAGCTCAACCTCTTTGTTTGGTTTTCATATGCTACTGTCACTCAAAATGTCCATGAACAGAAGATGGAAAATGGCCAATCCCAAACTGATAAAGTCTTGTCAACTGTTCCACTATGCCTTGGTCATATGACTGCAGCTGGTATTCCATCCATGAGTATCAGGGATCTGTGTATGTCTTTTAATTAGTAGTACTGAATACTTGGTTTCCCTAACATGCATATGTGCATGAATGGTAGAAGTCAGTATTCTTGTATTTTCTTTCCTACTCTCAATTTGAGGGGTCTCAGATGGCCGCATATCATCCTTCCATCCGTCCGTCCTTCCGTCCTTCCTTCCTCTTTTATCTCTCTTTTTTTTCTTTTTTTCTTTCAAAACTGATTTTCACTCTCTCGCCCAGGCAGTAGCGCAGTGATGCTATCTCGGTCGCTGCAATCTCCACCTCCCGGGTTCAAGTGATTCTCCTGCCTCAGCCTCCTGAGTAGCTGGGATAACAGGCATGCACCACCACGCCCAGCTAATATTTGTATTTTTAGTAGAGACAGGGTTTCACCGTGTCGGCCAGGATGGTCTTGATCTCTTGACCTCGAGATCCACCCGCCTCAGCCTTCCAAAGTGCTGGGATTACAGACGTGAGCCACCGTGCCCAGCCATATCCTACCCTGTCTCTTAGATAATTTCGTAGAAACTGAGCATCAGAGGGATACACCTGTGGGACTGACATAATGCATTTACATCACAGCTCAACCTTTTCCTTTGGTTTCCAGATTCTACTGTTCCTCAGAATGTCTGTGAAGAGAAGATAGAAAATGAACAAATGGCACCTGATAGATTCTTGTCAAGTGTTATAGAAGGGCTTATAAATTTCGCAGGGGCTGGTATTCCACCCCTGAGTACTGGGGATCAGCGTATGTTTGTTTACTAGTTATACTGTCCTACTGGGATTCCGTATGCATGCAGTGACATGCAGGGAAAACGGGTGGTTTTCTTTTATTATTGTTTCTGTTCTGAATTTCTGGGGTCTCATTTTCCACCTGATATGTCCTGCTTTATGGGTTAATGTCATAGAAACTGACCACCAGAGGGATATACCTGTGGGGTTGACATAATGCACTTTCCTCAGAGCTTGAACTCTTCATTTGGTTTCCAGATGCTACCGTCACTCACAATATCAATGAAGAGAGAATGAAAAATGGCCAGCCCCAACATGGTAACGTCTTGTCAACTGATTTCACAGGGCTTTGTAATATGATAGCAACTGCTATTCCGGCCATGAGTCCCAGAGATCGCTATATGTCCGCTTATAAGTTGTACTGTCCTACTTGCTTTTCACAAGCATGCGTAGTGCCTTCTGAAGGGAAGCAGGTGGCTTTCTTGTATTATATTTTCTGAACTAAATCTGAGTGGTCCCAGATATATACACCACCTTATATATCCTCCTGCTTTATGAAATAATTTCATGGAAAGTGAGCATCAGAGGGATATACTTATGGTTTGGCCTAATGCACTTACCTCACAGCTCAACCTCTTCCTTTGATTTCCAGAGGCTACCATCACTCACAGCGTCCATGAACAGAAGATGGGATATGTCCAACCAGCACCTGACAACGTGTTGTTGACACGTCCACCACGACTTATTAATATGGCAGGCACTGGTATTTCATCCATGAGTACCAGGGATCTGGGTAAGTTTGTGTGTTAGTATTACTGTCCTACTTTGTTTCCATATGCATGTATAGTGTCAAAAAAGGTAGGAGGTGGTTGTGTTATACTATGTTTCCAGGCCTCAATTTCAGGGGTCTCAGATGGCAACCTGGTATATCCTCTGGTTTATGAGATAATTTCCTAGAAACTGAGCACAGATATACCTGTGGAGTTACCATAATACACTTACTCACATCTCTTCATTTGGTTTCCAGATGCTACCAAGACTTATAATGTCCTTAAGGAGAAGATGGAAAAGGGCGAACACCAACATGGCAACATCTCATCAACTGCTCCAATAGGACTTACTAATGTGGCAGGAGCTGCTATTCCAGCCATGAGTACCGATGGTCTGTGTATGTTCACTTTTTAGTTGGATTTTCCTACTTTGTTTCCATATGCATGTATATTGTCAGGAAGGGGAGATGGAGATCTTGTTGTATTATCTTTCTTGATATCAGTTTGAGGGGTCCCAGATGCCGCTCATGTCATCTTGATTTGTGCAAAAATTTCTCAGGAGCTGAGCATCACAGGGATATACCTGTGGGGGCGGCATAATGCACCTACTCCTATCTTGACCTATTCATTTGTTTTCCAGATGCCACCGTCAGTCACAATGTCCATGAACAGAGGATGGAAAATGACCAACCGCAACAGGATAACGTCTGGCCAAATATTCTAGCATGGTTTATTAATATGGCAGGAGCTGGTATTCCAGCAATGAGTACCAGGGATCTGTGTATGTTCATTTTTTACTTGTACTGTCCTCCTTGGTTTCCATATGCAGGCATAGTGCCATGAAGGGAAGAAGGTTGTTTTGTGAATTGTCCTCCTTGGCCTCAATTTGAGGAGCTGCAGATCATTATTTGATGTGTTCTTTTGCTTTATGGTATTATTTCCTAGGATCTGATCATCAATGGGATATACTGGTGGCATTGACGTAATTCACTTACTTCAAGCTCAAAATCTTCCTTTGGTTTCCAGATGGTACCATCTCTCACAATGTACATGAAGAGAAGATGGAAAATGGCCCATCCCAAACTGGTAATCTCATGTTACCTGTTCCACCACTGCTTGGTCATATGGTAGCAGCTGCTCTTCCATGCATGAGTACCAGGGATCTGTGTATGTCTCTTAATTAGTTGTAGTGTCATCACTGGTTTCCATATGATTGCATATTTCATGAAAGGTACAAAGTGGTTTTATAGCATATACTTTGGTGGGATCAATTGGAGGGTTCTCACAGGGCCACCTGGCATATCCTCCCCTGCTTTATTAGATAATTTCCTAGAAACTGAGCGTCAGAGAGATAGACCTATAGGGCTGATATAATGCACTTAGCTCACAGCTGAAACTCTTCATGTGGTTTGCAGGTTTTACCATTGCTCAACATGTCTGTGAAGAAAAGATAAAAAGTGACAAAACAGCACCTCATGAATTCTTGTCAACTATTACAGCAGGGCTTAGGAATTTCACAGAAGCAGGTATTCAACCCCCGAGTACCAGGGATCTCTGCATGTTTATTTACTAACTCCGTTGTGCTACTTGGTTTCCATAAACATGCAGTATCATGCAGGGAAAAAGGTGCTTTGGTTGTATTATCTTTTCCGACCTAAACTTGAAGGGTCTCAGATCGCCACCTGATACAGCCTCTTGTGTGATGGAACAATTTCTTAAAAACTCATTGTCAGAAGGACATACATGTGGCGTTGACATAAGCACTTACCTCACAGCTCAACCACTTCCTTTGGTTTCCAGATGCTGCAGTCACTCAGAATGTCCGTGAAGAGAAGATAAATAACCGCCAACCAGCACCTGATAACGTCTTATCAGCTGCTCCACCAGGGCTTGGTAATTTGGCAGCAGCTGGAATTTCATCCACGAGGACCAGAGATCTGTGTATGTCTGCTTCTTAGTTGTACCGTCCTACTTGGTTTCTCTAAGGGGCATTGTTTGATGAATGCTACAAGCCAATTTTGTTCTATATACGTTCCTCACCTCAATTCGAGGGGTATCTGATGTGCACTTGGCATATTCACCCATGCTTTCTTTGATAATTTCCTTGAAACTGAGCATCAGAGGGATATCATACCAGTGGGGTTGACATAATGCACTTACCTCACAGCTCAACCACTTCACTTGGTTTTCAGATGCTGCAGTCACTCATAAAATCCTAGAAGAGAAGATAAATAACGGCCAATCAGCACCTGATAACCTCTTGTCAACTGCTCCACCAGGTCTTGGTAATATGGCAGCAGCTGGACTTTCATCTAAGAGGACCAGAGATCTGTGTACGTCTGCTTCTTAGTTGTACTGTGCTATTTGGTTTCCCTAAGGAGGCATTGTTTGATGAATGCTACAAGTTAATTTTGTTGGATATAGTTTACTAGCATCAATTTGAGGGGTATCAGATGGCCACGTGGCATATCAACCCCTGGATTCTTTGATAATTTCCTAGAAAGTGAGGATCAGAGGGATATACCTCTGGGGTTGACACACTGCACTTCCATCAAAGCTCAACCTCTTCATTTGGTTTTCAGATGCTACCATCACTCAAAATGTCTGCAAAGAGAAGATGGAAAATGACCAACCAACACCTAATAAGGCCTTGTCAACTGTTCTCCAAGGACTTCCTTATTTGGCAACAGCTGGTCTCCCAGCCATGAGCACCAGGGATCAGTGTATGTTTGCTTATTCATTTAGACTATCCTACCTGGTTTTCATAGGCATGCTTAGTGTCCTGAATGGGAGAAGGTGATTTTGTTGTATTGTCTTTCATGAGCTGCATTTGAGTGTTCTCAGATCGCCACCTGGCATATCCTCTCTGGATTTCTGAAATAATTTTCTAAAAAGTGAGCATCAGGAGGATGTACCAGTGGGTTTAACATAATGCACGTAACTCAAAACTGAACCCCTTCATTTCATTTCCAGATGGTATGATCTCTCACAATGTCTGTGAGAAGAAGATTAAAAATGCCCAAGCAGTACCCAATGAAACCTTCCCAGCCAGTCCCCCAGCACTTATTAATATGGCAGCAGCTGTTGTGTCATCCATGAGCACCAGGGATCAGTGTACCTTTGTGCAATTGGTTTACTATCCTACTAGGTTTCCATATGCGTGCATAGTGTCATGAGGGAAGAATGTAGTTTTGTTGTACTATCTTTCCTGGCCTTAATCTTAAGGTTCTCAGAGTGCTACCTGGTATGTCCTTCTTCTTTATGAGATAATTTCCTGGATACTGAGCATCAGAGGGGTATGCTGTGGTTGACATAATGCACTTCCCTCACAGCCCAGTCATTTCTCTTGGTTTCCAGATGCTGCCGTCACTCACAATGTCCGTGAAGCCAAGATAAATAACGGCCAACTAGCACCTGACAATGTCTTGTCAGCTGCTCCACCAGGTCTTGGTAATACGGCAACAGCTGGAATTTCATCCACGAGGAACACAGGTCTGTGTAGGTCTGCTTCTTTGTCGTACCGTCCGACTTGATTTCTCTAAGGAAGCATAGATCAATGAAAGCTACAAGTTCATTTTGTCGTATACATGTTCCTAGCGTCAATTTGAGGGGTATCAGATAGCCACATGGCATATGCAACTTTGCTGTCTTTGATAATTTTCTAGAAACTGAGGATCAGACAGAAATACCTCTGGGGCTGACATAATGTACTAACTTCACAGCTCAACCTCTTCATTTGTTTTCAGATGCTACCATCACTCAAAATGTCCGCAAAGAGAAGATGGAAAATAACCAACCAACACCTAATAACGTCTTGTCAACTGTTCTGCAAGGACTTCCATATTTGGCAACAGCTGGTCTCCCAGCCATGAGCACCAGGGATCAGTGTATGTTTGCTTATTCATTTGGACTATCCTACTTGGTTTTCATAGGCATGCCTAGTGTCCTGAACGGGAGAAGGTGATTTTGTTGTATTATCTTCTGTGAGCTGCATTTGAGTGTTCTCAGATCGCCATCTGGCATATCCTCTTCAGCTTTATGAAATAGTTTTCTAGAAACTGAATATCAGGAGGATATACATGTAGAATTGACATAGTACACATAACTCAAAACTGAACCTCCTGATTTCATTTCCAGATTATACCATCACTCACAATGTCCATGAGGAGAAGATTAAAAATGCCCAAACGGCACCCAATAATGTCTTCTCAGCTATTCCACCAGCACGTATTAATATGGCAGCAGCGGGTGTTTCATCCATGAGTACCAGGGATCAGTGTACGTTTGTTCACTTGGCGTGCTGTCCTACTTGGTTTCTATATGCATGCGTAGTGCCATGAGAAAAGAATACACTGTTGTTGTACTATCTTTACTGGCCTCAACTTTACGGTTCTCAGACTGCTAGTTGGTATGTCCTTCTTCTTTATGAGATCATTTCCTCGATACCGAGCATACGAGCGGTATGCCTGTACGGTTGACATAATGCATGAAACACACAGCTCAACGACTTCATTTGGTTTCCAGATGCTGCGGTCACTCACAACGTCCGTGAAGCGAAGATAAATAATGGTCAACTAGCACCTGATAACGTCTTGTCAACTGCTCCACCAGGGCTTGGTAATTTGGCAGCAGCTGGAATTTCATCCACGAGGACCAGAGATCTATGTATGTCTGCTTTTTAGTTGGACCATCGTACTTGGATTCCCTAAGGAGGCATTGTTTGATGAATGCTACCAGTTAATTTTGTTGTATATAGTTTCCTAGCATCAATTTGAGGGGGATCAGATAGCCACGTGGCATATCCTAAACTGGTTTCTTTCATAATTTCCAGGAAACTGAGGATCAGACGGATGTACTTCTGGGGTTGACATACTGTACTTACCTCACAGCTCAACCTCTTCATTTGGGTTTCAGATGCTACCGTCACTCAAAATGTCTGCAAAGAGAAGATGGAAAATAATGAACCAACACTTAATAACGTCTTGTCAACTGTTCTCCAAGGACTTCCTTATTTGGCAACAGCTGATCTCCCAGCCATGAGCACCAGGGATCAGTGTATGTTTGATTATTCATTCGGACTATCCTACTTGGTTTTCATAGGCATGCCTAGTGTCCTGAACGGGAGAAGGTGATTTTGTTGTATTGTGTTCTGTGAGCTGCATTTGAGTGTTCTCAGATCGCCATCTGGCATATCCTCTTCAGCTTTATGAAATAGTTTTCTAGAAACTGAGTATCAGGAGGATATGCCTGTAGAGTTGACATAGCACACATAACTCAAAACTGAACCTCCTGATTTCATTTCCAGATTCTGCCATCACTCACAATGTCCGTGAGGAGAAGATTAAAAATGCACAAACAGCACCCAATAATGTTTTCTCAGTTATTCCACCAGCACGTGTTAATATGGCAGCAGCAGGTGTTTCATCCATGAGTACCAGGGATCAGTGTAAGTTTGCTCACTTGGCGTGCTGTCCTACTTGTTTTCTATATGCATGTGTAGTGTCATGAGGGAAGAATACAGTGTTGTTGTACTATCCTTACTAGCCTCAATTTTACGGTTCTCAGATTGCTACTTTGTATGTCCTTCTTTTTCTTTGAGATAATTTCCTCATTACTGAACATCAGAGGGGTATGCCTGTGCGGTTGCCATAATGCACATAACGCACAGCTCAACCACTTCATTTGGTTTCCAGATGCTGCGGTTACTCACAATGTCCATGAAGCGAAGATAAATAACGGCCAACGAGCACTTGACACCATCTTGTCAACTGCTCCACCAGGGCTTGGTAATATGGCAGCAGCTGGAACTTCATCCACGAGGACCAGAGGTGTGTGTTTGTCTACTTCTTAGTTGTACTGTCCTACTTGGTGTCCCTAACCAGGCATAGTTTGATGAATGCTACAAATTAATTTTGTTGTCTATAATTTCCAAGCCTCAATTTGAGGGGCATCATATGTACATTTAGCATATTCACCCCTGCTGGCTTTATGAAATAGTTTTCCTATCCTCTCTGGCTTTATGAAATAGTTTTCTAGAAAGTGACCACCAGGAGGATATACCTGTGGGGTTAACATAATGCCCATACCTGAACACTGAACCCCTTCATTTCATTTCCATATGCTGCGATCACTCACAATGTTTGTGAGGGAAGATTAAAAATGCCCAAGCAGCACTCAATGAAACCTTCCCAGCTAGTTCCCCAGCACTTATTAATATGGCAGCAGCTGTTGTGTCATCCATGAGCACCAGGGATCAGTGTACCTTTGTGCAATTGGTTTACAATCCTACTAGGTTTCCATATGCGTGCATAGTGTCATGAGGGGAGAATGTAGTTTTTGTACTATCTTTCCTGGCCTCAATCTTAAGCTTCTCAGACTGCTACTTGGTATGTCCTTCTTCTTTATGAGATAATTTCCTAGATACTGAGCATCAGAGGGATATGCCTGTGCCATTCACAAAATGCACTTACCTCACAGCCCAGCCATTTCTGTTGGTTTCCAGATGCTGCAGTCACTCACAATATCCGTGAAGCAAAGATAAATAACATCCAACTAGCACCTGACAACGTGTTGTCAGCTGCTCCACCAGGTCTTGGTAATATGGTAGCAGCCGGAAATTCATCCATGAAAACCACAGGTCTGTGTAGGTCCGCTTCTTAGTTGTACTGTCCTACTTGGTTTCCCTAAGGAGGCATAGTTTTATGAATGCTACAAGTTAATTTTGTTGTATGTACTTTCCTAGCCTCACTTTGAGGGGTATGAGATAGCCACGTGGCATACCCTACCCTGGTTTCTTTGATAATTTCCTAGAAAGTGAGGATCATAGGGATATACCTCTGGGGTTGACATAATGTACTTAGCTCACAGCTCAACCTCTTCCTTTGGTTTTCAGGTGCAACCGTCACTCAAAATGTCTGCAAAGAAAAGACCGAAAATAAGCAACCAACACCTAGTAACGTCTTGTCAACTGTTCTCCAAGGACTTCCTTATTTGGCAACAGCTGGTCTCCCAGCCATGAGCGCCAGGGATCAGTGTATGTTTGCTTATTCATTTGGACTATCCTGCTTTGTTTTCATAGGCATGCCTAGTGTCCTGAATGGGAGAAGGTGATTTTGTTGTATTATCTTTCATGAGCTGCATTTGAGTGTTCTCAGATGGCCATCTGGCATATCATTTCTGATTTTATGAAATAGTTTTCTAGAAACTGAGCATCAGGCTGATATACCTGTGGGGTTTAGATAATGCACTTAATTCAAATCTAAACCTTTTCATTTTGTTTCCAGATGCTACCATCACTCACACTGTCCAGGAGGCAAGGATAAAAAATGCTGAAGGAGCACCCAATAAAGTCTTCCCAACTGTTTCCCCTACACATATTAATATGGCAGCAGCGGGTGTTTCATCCATGAAGACCAGGGATCAGTGTAAGTTTGTTCACTCAGTGCACTGTCCTACTTGGTTTCCACATGCTTGCATACTGTAAGCAGGAAAGAATGTAGTGTTGTTTTACTGTCTTTCCTGGCCTCAATTTTAGGGTTCTCAGATTACTAGGTGGTATATCTTTCTTCTGTATGACATAATTTCCTAGATACTACCCATCAGAGTGGTATACCTATGTAGTTGACATAATGCACTTACCTCACAGCAAAACCACTTTGTTTGGTTTCCAGATGCTGCAGTCACTCACAATGTCCGTAAACAGAAGATAAATAATGGCCAACTAGCACCTGATAACGTCTTGTCAACTGCTCCACCAGGTCTTGGTAATATGGCAGCAGCTGGAATTTCATCCACGAGGACCAGAGATCTGTGTATGTCTGCTTCTTAGTTGTGCTGTCCTACTCGGTTTCCCTAAGCAGGCATACATTCATGAATGGTAGAGGGTAACTCTGTTGTAAATACCTTAGTAGCCTCAATTTGAGGGTTATCAGATGTCCACTTGGCATATGCACCCCTGCTTTTTTTGATGATTACCTTGAAACTGATCATCAGAGGGATATACCTGTGCAGTTCACATGATGTATTTACTTCACAGCTCAACCTCTTCATTTGGTTTTCTTTCAGATGCTACCGTCACTCAAAATGTCCGTGAAGAGGAGCTGGAAAATAAGCAACCAACATCTAATAACGACTTGTTGACTGTTCTACAAACACTTACATTTTTGGCCAAAGCTGTTCTGCCAGCCATGAGCACCAGGGATCAGTGTATGTTTGCTTATTCCTTTGTACTATCCTACCTTGTTTTCATAGGTATGACTAGTGTCCTGAATAGGAGAAAGTGACTTTGTTGTATTATATTTCGTGAGCACATTTGAGTGTTCTCAGATGCCCATCTGGCATATCCTCTCTGACTTTTTGAAATAGTTGTCTAGAAACTGATCATCAGGGGGATATACCTGTGGGCTGAAATAATGCCCTTAACTCAAAACTTAACGTCTTCATTGTCTTTCCAGATTCTACCATCACTCACAACGTCCACGAGGAGAAGATTAAAAATGCTGAAGCAGAACCCAATAATGTCTTCTCAACTATTCCCCCAGCACTTATTAATATGGGAGCAGCTGGTGTTTCATCCATGAGTACCAGGGATCAGTGTATGTTTGTTCACTCAATATACTGTCCTACTTGGTTTCTATATGCATGCATAGTGTCATGAGGACAGAATCTAGTGTTGTTGTACTATCTTTCCTGGCCTCAATTTTAGGGATCTCAGGTTGCTACCTGGTATATTCTTCTCCAAGTGATAATGTCCTAGCTGCTGAGCATCTGAGGGCTATGCCTGTGTGGTTTACATAATGCAAATTACTCACAGCTCAACCATTTCATTTGGTTTCCAGATGCTGCAGTCACGCACAGCGTCCGTGAAGAGAAGAGAAGTAACAGCCAACCGGTACCTGATAACGTCTTGTCAACTGCTCCACCAGGGCTTGGTAATATGGCAGCAGCTGGAATTTCATCCAGGAGGACCAGAGATCTGTGTATGTCTGCTTCTTAGTTGTGCTGTCCTACTCGGTTTCCCTAAGCAGGCATAATTTCATGAATGGTAGAGGGTAACTCTGTTGTAAATACCTTAGTAGCCTCAATTTGAGGGTTATCAGATGTCCACTTGGCATATACACCCCTGCTTTTTTTGATGATTACCTAGAAACTGACCATCAGAGGGATATAACTGTGCAGTTCACATGATGTATTTACTTCACAGCTCAACCTCTTCATTTGGTTTTCAGATGCTACCGTCACTCAAAATGTCCGTGAAGAGGAGCTGGAAAATAAGCAACCAACATCTAATAAGGACTTGTTGACTGTTCTACAAACACTTACATTTTTGGCCACAGCTGGTCTGCGAGCCATGATCACCAGGGATCAGTGTATGTTTGCTTATTCATTTGTACTATCCTACCTTGTTTTCATAGGTATGACTAGTGTCCTGAATAGGAGAAAGTGATTTTGTTGTATTATATATCGTGAGCACATTTGAGTGTTCTCAGATGCCCATCTGGCATATCCTCTCTGGCTTTTTGAAATCGTTGTCTAGAAACTGATCATCAGGGGGATATACCTGTGGGCTGTCATAATGCCCTTAACTCAAAACTTAACGTCTTCATTGTCTTTCCAGATTCTACCATCACTCACAACGTCCACGAGGAGAAGATTAAAAATGCTGAAGCAGAACCCAATAATGTCTTCTCAAATATTCCCCCAGCACTTATTAATATGGGAGCAGCTGGTGTTTCATCCATGAGTACCAGGGATCAGTGTATGTTTGTTCACTCGATATACTGTCCTACTTGGTTTCTATATGCATGCACAGTGTCATGAGGAAAGAATCTAGTGTTGTTGTAATATCTTTCCTGGCCCCAATTTTAGGGTTCTCAGATTGCTACCTGGTATATCCTTCTCCAAGTGATAATTTCCTAGCTGCTGAGCATCTGAGGGCTATGCCTGTGTGGTTTACATAATGCAAATTACTCACAGCTCAACCATTTCATTTGGTTTCCAGATGCTGAAGTCACGCACAGCGTCCGTGAAGAGAAGAGAAGTAACAGCCAACCGGTACCGGATAACGTCTTGTCAACTGCTCCACCAGGGCTTGGTAATATGGCAGCAGCTGGAATTTCATCCAGGAGAACCAGAGATCTGTGTATGTCTGCTTCTTAGTTGTGCTGTCCTACTCGGTTTCCCTAAGCAGGCATAATTTCATGAATGGTAGAGGGTAACTCTGTTGTACATACCTTAGTAGCCTCAATTTGAGGGGTATCAGATGTCCACTTGGCATATGCACCCCTGCTTTTTTTGATGATTACCTAGAAACTGATCATCAGAGGGATATACCTGTGCAGTTCACATGATGTATTTACTTCACAGCTCAACCTCTTCATTTGGTTTTCTTTCAGATGCTACCGTCACTCAAAATGTCCGTGAAGAGGAGCTGGAAAATAAGCAACCAACATCTAATAACGACTTGTTGACTGTTCTACAAACACTTACATTTTTGGCCACAGCTGTTCTGCCAGCCATGAGCACCAGGGATCAGTGTATGTTTGCTTGTTCATTTGTACTATCCTACCTTGTTTTCATAGGTATGACTAGTGTCCTGAATAGGAGAAAGTGATTTTGTTGTATTATATTTCGTGAGCACATTTGAGTGTTCTCAGATGCCCATCTGGCATATGCTCTCTGGCTTTTTGAAATCGTTGTCTAGAAACTGATCATCAGGGGGATATACCTGTGGGCTGACATAATGCCCTTAACTCAAAACTTAACGTCTTCATTGTCTTTCCAGATTCTACCATCACTCACAACGTCCACGAGGAGAAGATTAAAAATGCTGAAGCAGAACACAATAACGTCTTCTCAACTATTCCCCCAGCACTTATTAATATGGGAGCAGCTGGTGTTTCATCCATGAGTACCAGGGATCAGTGTATGTTTGTTCACTCGATATAATGTCCTACTTGTTTTTTATATGCATGCATAGCGTCATGAGGACAGAATCTAGTGTTGTTGTACTATCTTTCCTGGCCTCAATTTTAGGGTTCTCAGATTGCTACCTGGTATATTCTTCTCCAAGTGATAATTTCCTAGCTACTGAGCATCTGAGGGCTATGCCTGTGTGGTTTACATAATGCAAATTACTCACAGCTCAACCATTTCATTTGTTTTCCAGATTCTGCAGTCACGCACAGCGTCCGTGAAGAGAAGAGAAGTAACAGCCAACCGGTACCTGATAACGTCTTGTCAACTGCTCCACCAGGGCTTGGTAATATGACAGCAGCTGGAATTTCATCCAGGAGGACCAGAGATCTGTGTATGTCTGCTTCTTAGTTGTGCTGTCCTACTCGGTTTCCCTAAGCAGGCATAATTTCATGAATGGTAGAGGGTAACTCTGTTGTAAATACCTTAGTAGCCTCAATTTGAGGGGTATCAGATGTCCACTTGGCATATGCACCCCTGCTTTTTTTGATGATTACCTAGAAACTGATCATCAGAGGGATATACGTGTGTGGTTCACATGATTTATTTACTTCACAGCTCAACCACTTCATTGGGTTTTCTTTCAGATGCTACCGTCACTCAAAATGTCCGTGAAGAGGAGCTGGAAAATAAGCAACCAACATCTAATAACGATTTGTTGACTGTTCTACAAACACTTACATTTTTGGCCACAGCTGTTCTGCCAAGCATGAGCACCAGGGATCAGTGTATGTTTGCTTATTCATTTGTACTATCCTACCTGGTTTTCATAGGCATGACTAGTGTCCTGAATAGGAGAAAGTGATTTTGTTGTATTATATTTCGTGAGCACATTTGAGTGTTCTCAGATGCCCATCTGGCATATCCTCTCTGGCTTTTTGAAATCGTTGTCTAGAAACTGATCATCAGGGGGATACACCTGTGGGCTGTCATAATGCCCTTAACTCAAAACTTAACGTCTTCATTGTCTTTCCAGATTCTACCATAACTCACAACGTCCATAAGGAGAAGATTAAAAATGCTGAAGCAGAACCCAATAATGTCTTCTCAACTATTCCCCCAGCACTTATTAATATGGGAGCAGCTGGCGTTTCATCCATGAGTACCAGGGATCAGTGTATGTTTGTTCACTCGATATACTGTCCTACTTGGTTTCTATATGCATGCACAGTGTCATGAGGAAAGAATCTAGTGTTGTTGTACTATCTTTCCTGGCCCCAATTTTAGGGTTCACAGATTGCTACCTGGTATATCCTTCTCCAAGTGATAATTTCCTAGCTGCTGAGCATCTGAGGGCTATGCCTGTGTGGTTTACATAATGCAAATTACTCACAGCTCATCCATTTCATTTGGTTTCCAGATGCTGAAGTCACGCACAGCATCCGTGAAGAGAAGAGAAGTAACAGCCAACCGGTACCGGATAACGTCTTGTCAACTGCTCCACCAGGGCTTGGTAATATGGCAGCAGCTGGAATTTCATCCAGGAGAACCAGAGATCTGTGTATGTCTGCTTCTTAGTTGTGCTGTCCTACTCGGTTTCCCTAAGCAGGCATAATTTCATGAATGGTAGAGGGTAACTCTGTTGTAAATACCTTAGTAGCCTCAATTTGAGGGGTATCAGATGTCCACTTGGCATATGCACCCCTGCTTTTTTTGATGATTACCTAGAAACTGATCATCAGAGGGATATACCTGTGCAGTTCACATGATGTATTTACTTCACAGCTCAACCTCTTCATTGGGTTTTCTTTCAGATGCTACCGTCACTCAAAATGTCCGTGAAGAGGAGCTGGAAAATAAGCAACCAACATCTAATAACGACTTGTTGACTGTTCTACAAACACTTACATTTTTGGCCACAGCTGTTCTGCCAGCCATGAGCACCAGGGATCAGTGTATGTTTGCTTATTCATTTGTACTATCCTACCTTGTTTTCATAGGCATGACTAGTGTCCTGAATAGGAGAAAGTGATTTTGTTGTATTATATTTCGTGAGCACATTTGAGTGTTCTCAGATGCCCATCTGGCATATCATCTCTGGCTTTTTGAAATAGTTTTCTAGAAACTGATCATCAGGGGGATATACCTGTGGGCTGACATAATGCCCTTAACTCAAAACTTAACGTCTTCATTGTCTTTCCAGATTCTACCATCACTCACAACGTCCACGAGGAGAAGATTAAAAATGCTGAAGCAGAACCCAATAATATCTTCTCAACTATTCCCCCAGCACTTATTAATATGGGAGCAGCTGGTGTTTCATCCATGAGTACCAGGGATCAGTGTATGTTTGTTCACTCGATATAATGTCCTACTTATTTTTTATATGCATGCATAGTGTCATGAGGACAGAATCTAGTGTTGATGTACTATCTTTCCTGGCCTCAATTTTAGGGTTCTCAGATTGCTACCTGGTATATTCTTCTCCAAGTGATAATTTCCTAGCTGCTGAGCATCTGAGGGCTATGCCTGTGTGGTTTACATAATGCAAATTACTCACAGCTCAACCCTTTCATTTGGTTTCCAGATGCTGCAGTGACGCATAGCGTCCGTGAAGAGAAGAGAAGTAACAGCCAACCGGTACCTGATAACGTCTTGTCAACTGCTCCACCAGGGCTTGGTAATATGGCAGCAGCTGGAATTTCATCCAGGAGGACCAGAGATCTGTGTATGTCTGCTTCTTAGTTGTGCTGTCCTACTCGGTTTCCCTAAGCAGGCATAATTTCTTCGATGGTAGAGGGTAATTTTGTGGTATATACTTTCCTAGCCTCAATATGAAGGGTATCAGAGGGCAACTTGGCATATGCACCCCTGTTCTCTTTGATAATTTCCTAGAAACTCAGCATCAGAGGGATGTACCTGTGTGGTTGAAATAACGCACGTACATCACAGCTCAACCTCTTCATTTGGTTTTCAGATGCTATAGTCCATCTCAATGTCCATGAGGAGAGGATGGAAAATGGCAAATCCGCAACCGCATAACATGTAGTCAAATGTTCCTTCAGGGCTTACTAATATGGCAGTAGCTGCTCTTCTGGCCACGAGTACCATATAACTGTGTATCTTCTCTTATTAGTTGGATTTTCCTACTTGTTTTCCATATCCGCTCATAGTGTCATAAAGGGGAGAAAGTGGTTTTGTTTTATTCTCTTCCTTAAGTGCAATTTGAGGGGTCTCAGAACACTGCCGTCGTGTCCTCCTGCTCCATGCAATAATTTATTAGAAGCTCTGCATCATAAGAGTATACCTGTGTGTTTAAATAAGGCATTTATTTCACAGCTTGACCTGGTCATTTTGCTTCCAGATGCTACCACGACTCACAACATCCGTGAGGAGAGGATAGAAAATGCCCAACTGCAATTTAGTAACATCTTGTTAACTTTTCCACCAGGGTGTATTAACATGGCAGCAGCTGGTATTCCAGCCATGAGTACCAAGGATCTGTGTATGTTTCTGTATAAGTTGGAAAGTCTCACTTGGTTTTCATATGTATGCATAGTGTCATCAAGGGAAGGAGGTTGTTCAGTTGTACCTTCTTTCGTGAGCTCAATTTGAGGGGTTTCAGATGGCCACCTGGCATATCCTCCACTTTCATGGGACGATTTCCTAGAAATTGAGCATCAGTGGGATATACAAGTGGGGTTGTCATAATGTACTTACCTCACAGCTTAAACATTTTCTTTGACAGAGGATGGAAACCCGCTAACCCCAAAATGATAACATCTTATCAACTGGTCCACCATGGCTTGGTGATATGGCAGCAGCTGGAATTTCATCCACGAGGACCAGGATCTGTGTATGTCTGCTTCTTAGTTGTTCCGTCCTACTTGGTTTCCAAATAAACAGGCATATTTTCATGAAGGGTAGAAGGTTGGTTTGTTGTATATTTTTTCCTAGCCTCAATTTGAGGGGTATCCAATGGCTGCCTGGCATATGCTCTCCTGCATTCTTAGATAATTTTACAGCAACTGGCCATCAGAATGATATGCTTGTGGGGTTGACATAATGCACTTAACTCACAGTTCAACCTCCTCATTTGGTTTCCACAATCTATCATGAATCACAATGTCCGTGAAGAGCAGAGGAAGAATGGCCAAACACAAATGGAGAATGTCTCGTGAAATGTTCTATCAGGGCTTATGAGATGGCAGGAGCTGGCATCCCAGCGACGATTACCAGGCATCTGTGTGTGTTCTTTCATTAGTTGCGGTGTCCTCCTTGGTTTCCATATGCATGTGTAGTATCATGAAGGGTATAAGGTGGTTTTGTTGAATTATCTTTCCTGGTCCCAATTTGGGGGGATTTAGATCATTATATGGTGTATTCTCCTGCTTTACGGGATAATTTCCTAGAAACTGAGTATCAGTGAGATATACAAGTGGGGTTGACATAAAATGCACTTACCTCACAGCTCAACCTCTTCCTTTGGTTTCCAGATGCTATCATCAATCACCTCCAGACTTCCTTAGGTGCACCCTTCCATCTTATAAAGAGTAACAGTGCATCATGATTATGGTGGTTGAGATAGAGGATATCCATGGTCTTGGTAATATCAACTTTCATTTACCAGGTCTATGTCAGTACAGCCACTGCTTGCTATTCAATCTGCCAGCAGCAGAGACGAACACTGAGTCCCCAACATGAAACCATGTCCCAGAGTGGTCTGTCCGCTTCCAGATAGCACTGTGATTACTTGAATCTGCTTCCACAATTGAAGGGGCATCACTTTGATTTGCTCAAATGGACACTTATTCTGGATATGGATTTTCATTCTCACCTATGGTACTTCAAGAAAACAAACATTGTGGTATTAGGAAATGCTGTGTCCACCATCGTGGTATCCCACACTGTACTAGTTTTAAACAGGAATCTCACTTTACAGGAAATGAAGTATGGCAATAGGCCTATGGTAGCCAATTAGACTAGTCTCGTGATGTACTTCACCATCCTGAAGTGGCGGGCTCAATTGGACCGTGGAATGATCTTCTAAGCCTGACTTGTAGTTCCAGCTTTGTGGTAATGCCGTAAGGGTCTTGGCTAACAGTCTAGGAGGTGGCAATGCTGTATCCCAGCATCAAGTATATGGAGCTATTTTTCTATAGCCACATCTATGTCTTCAAGAATGAAAGAGGCAAGATGAGGGCCTCCTCTCACTATTACTTCTGGGTATCTAGTAGTAAAATTTTGCTTTTTGCAAACATTTGGCTCTGCTGGACTAGAGATCTTAGTTACAAATTGAGAGATTTTTTTTTTCAATAGCGGATCCAAAAATCATTCCATTGAAATGAAAGTTGTGTCTGCAAGCTGATCCCTTTGGAAAGTTCATTCTCAAACAAGAGACAAAGAAGGGGGTCCGCTACTGGCTGGGGTGATGGAAAATGACAATCAAAGGGAGATGGAGTTCCTACTACACCAGAGGCTAAGAAAGAGCATGTCTTATATGTCTAGAGAGCTTCTTAGTCCTCCTGTGTTTTGCGATTAGAGTTAATGGAAATTACAGCAAATGAAAGTTGTGTCTGCAAGCTGACCGCTTTGAACTCTTCATTCCTCTCAACCAAGAGACAAAGTAGGGGGCCTGCTACTGGCTCGGGTGATGGAAAGAAAAATGAATATTGGGTTCCTACTACACCATGGGCTAAGGAACAGTATGTCTGATATGTCTAGAGAGCTTCTTAGTACTCCCATGTTTTATGATTAGAGTTAATGAAAACTTACAGCAACCCCATCTAGGCAGGACATCTAATGGTTCAGACTGTTCAGTAATGAAGGTTTGAGTCATTCTGCCAGGCCAAGCACCACGAGCAGCTGACATGCTTTCGCTAGGGCAAAGGGAAAGAGAAATGGGTAGTGAAAGAAGGCAGTTATAAATAACAGTTACAGCAATGTGGGCTGCTGCAGAAACCACGACTGTAATAGTATTTACTTGATGGGTCAATAATGTCTGCCAGCACAGGTGGGAAAATCAACAAACCAACAAATAAGTTATCCTTTCAAATGAAATGCTTAGGGAAAAAGACCAACGTTTACTGACAGAAATTTCTTAGCCTCTGGGAGGCCATTTTATTCACTAACACATGCTAGGAGGTTTCAGCCATATCCTACTCTATTGTAAAAAACAGCAATTTGATCCTCTTTTCTCCTCAATCATTAAAGAGATTATGCATTTAGGGTCTGATGTTCCTTCTTGGACAAGTAGCCAGATGTCATTTCTTCCAGTTTCTTCTCAAGGTGCGGAATTAAGTCTCCTCGCACATACCTGAAATGAAAGAGACGTGTCATTAACCAAAAGAGAGCCAAAGAACCTATGCTGTAGGAAGCACTGTGGGAGATAGAAGGATGAAGTAACAGTCAGCATGGAGACAGAAATGCACCTGCATGGTAAGGGGTAGTCTAGCCAGGCAATAACAAATGCTGGCGAGGGTGTGAAGAAAAGGGAAGCTTCATACACTCTTGTTGAGAATATAATTTACTATGACAACTATGAAGAACAGTTTGGAGGTTCCTCGAAAACCTGAAAATGGATCAATCATATGGTCCAGTAATCCCACTGCTGGGTATACTCCCAGGAGAAAGGAAGTCAGTACACCGCAGAGATATCTGCACTCCCGTGTTGGTTGCAGCCCCGTCCACAGTAGCCAAGTTTTGGAAGCAACCTAAGTGTCCACCAACAGCTGAATGGGTAAGGAAAACGCGGTACATAGACACAAAGGAGTGCTGTTCGGCCATAGAAAAGAATGAGATTCAGTCTTGTGCAACAACATGGATGGAACTGAAGGTCATTACGTTAAGTGGAATAAGCCAGGCACAAAAAGAGAAACTTCACATGTTCTCACTTATTTGTGGGAGCAAAAATTTTAAACTGAACTAATGGAGATAGAGAGTAGAATGGAGGACTGCCAGAGGCTGGGAAGGTTAGTGGGGTGGTCGGAACTACAGATGATTAATACATACAAACTATCTGATAGCATGACAGGGTGACTACAGCCAGTAATAATTTAATTGTACATTAAAAATAACGAGTATAATTGGATTAACTGTAACACAAAAAATAAATGCTTGAGGTGATAGATGCCCCATTTACCTTGATGTGTTTATTACACATTGTTGTCTGTATCACAATGTCTCATATACCCCAGAAATATATGCATCTGCTATGTACGTACACACATTTCTTAAAAAGAGGTAATTAGCAAATACAAAGAGTGTCAATTGAGGGACAATGTCTACCTCAGACTATGGTAAGAATTGAATTCTCCATAGGTTTAAAAGAATGAGTTAGATTCAGACAACATTAACCTAAGTAACTGTGGAGACAGACGTAAGTATAAGTGAGGGCCAAGGTTTGAGAAATTCAAGGCACAGGCCGTTCCCCCATGCTCACCGCCAGTATTGTGTTGGACCAGAGTGCTTAAAGAAATTGGACAGTTCCTGTCTCTACCTACCTTGCTGCTTCCTTGATGTTGGATTCAAAAATTGTTTTTTGATTTCTATAGGTCCTTGCACTCCTTCAAGCAATTTGAAGATTTTTTCATATTCTGAAGATGTTAAAAAAAAACTTCAGTATTATCAAATACAAAGAAGAATAGAAGTGAATCTTGCTTACCCTATACCTCACTAATCCTGCTTCATGGGCTAAAATGTTTTAAATGCTTAAATCAAGATACCTGCACATACAAAATCTAAAAAATAAAAAAAGACACCTGCACCTACCTATGAATGAAAGTCTTGTAAACCATAACCCGGTGAGAAAAGAGAAAGAAAATGTATACTGTGCTTTAGTCAAAAGACGAATTACCATAAATTATGGGTAAACTCAACTCTGGCAAGGAATTAGCCTCAACAGACAACATGCATATCTTCTGAATTAAAGAAAGGGAGACTTCCTCAATTTTTTTTAAAACAGACATTCTTATACTACTTACTTTGTCCAAAGCATTGAATTTCCTTCACTAACTGGTATTTTATATCAGCACTAATTTCTTCTCGGCTTTTTAGAAAAGGGAGTATTTCTCTGCATTTTAGGTCATCTGCAGAGAAATTGCTGGTAATGATTCTTTCTACAAGTGCATTTCTACCAGGTTTCTGCACCAGCCCATCTTTGCTGAAGCCAGTGAAGTCATCAATCCGAGAATCCAGTTGGCTGGCTGGAATACCAACTGCTACCTTAAGCTCTGGTGGAACAAATTTTGACAAAAAGCCATCAGTTGGAGTTTCACCATGTTCTTTCCCCTCCACATAGACATCACGAACGACAGATCTGGAAACCAAACTGAGAAGTTGAGCTGTGGGAAATGTGTCTTTTATCACCCCTCTGGGTATATCTATGTGCTCCTCAGTTTCTAGGGAATTATTTATTTCATAGATGGGAGGTATACCAGGGGGAAATCCCAGGCCTGATGAATTGAGGCCAGGACACATAAAACAATAAAACCATTTCTTAGTTTCTGGCTCTATAAATACATATGGAAACCAAGTAAGACAGTATAACTCTAACAAACATTCACAGGTCCCTGGTACTCATCTGTTAGTGTCAGCTTGTCATGCTTTATAAGTTGAAAGCAGCAAGTTTCACTTGATATCATGATTTTTCAGGTTCACATACAAACTGCCACGCTTTACTCAGCTGGAAGCCGGAAAACTTGGATACACCTCAACCTGTCTCCTCGCTATGTCAAATATATTCTGAGAAAATATAGGCAGCTGTTAATGCTGAAAGTTCTATACCCACTCATCACCTAAAATCCCGTTTAGCATATGATCTTCCTCTTTCTTTTTTCTGCCTCAGAAAAGTGACTTTCCTTTCACTCCAGGTCTGTCACCTCTTTCATTTCTTCATTGTCTGTGGCAGGCAGCATGCCAGGATCTAGGGATCAGTAGTAAACAGCCCAGAGAGCAAAGTTCTCTGCCCTTGTGGAGTTCACACCCTCAAGGGGCAGTCAGACAGTACATACGTAATGAGGAAATGAAAGAAAGCAGCGTTAGGCTGGTGGTGGGGAAGACATCCACAGGCCTGTGGGAGACAGCAGCAGAGGGAGCCCCAGGAGCTGCCGCTGGTTGGGCAGGGCCTTCTCAGGAGGTGCCCTTGGGCAGGGATTGGAGTAAGAAGTGGGGCTACCTGTGCAGAGGCAGAGGGGGATTTCCAGGCTGCAATGAGTCTAAGGGTATGGGCTGTAGTGAGGATGGACCGGGTACTATGGAGTGAAGGAGATAAGCAGAGAGAGCCAGGAGATGAATAGGACCCGTGTTAGTAGAGGGTGAAGAAGGCCTCGCAGACCAAAGCTGGTTTACGGTCTGTTCTGAGTGCTTAGGAGAGTTGGGGATGGATTTTCAGGAGTGATGTGGCATGATGTCATTTACCTGCCAACACGATGACCTGGCTGCAGGGCTGGAGGGTGTGCGTTAGATGGGGGCAATAATGGGAGACATGGAGATAGCACAGTAGCTCAGTGACTCATCATGGCAAAGTGGAATAGAAGGAGAGAGAAATGCTGGGATTCAAGGAATATTTACAGTGTTTAGAGAAGAGAAGAAAAAGAAAGGTAGAAAAAACGAATGATAGGGGCCGGAAGTGGTGGCTCATGCCTGTAATCCCAGCACTTTGGGAGGCTGCGATCGGTGGATCATCTGAGGAGAGGAGTCCGAGACAAGTTTGGCCAACATAGTGAGACCGCATATCTACCAAAAATACAAAAATTTCCTGAGAATGCTGGCAGGTGCCTGTAATCTCAGCTACTCGGGAGGCTGAGGCAGGAGAATTACTTGAACTGGGAGACAGAATTTGCAGTGAGCCAAGATTGAAATACTGCACTCCAGCCTTGCTGACAAGACTGAAACTCTGTCTCAAAAAAAAAGAAAAAAAAAAGAAAACAGGGGCTCACTAGTAAGGATAAGAAAATTTTAAAAGTACACATTGTGGAAAATGGAAATCCTAGAAGGTTTCCATGAAGGAGCAAGGGAACAACTGTCAAATGCTGTTGTAAAATTTATGGCAATGCAAGCCAAAACTGTTGACCTTGACAAGGACAGGAGGGTAAGAGGCAGGAGGCCAGCTGCACTGGATACAGCACGAAAAGGAGGCGAGGACAGGCTGACTTACCCTTTTCCGTAGACATGGCAGAGCGTCCAATACCACCGTCTCCTGCTCCTTCTGTCCGTGCCGACAGGGCCATCTTCTGCCTTTTCTGATATGAAGGACTGTCAGATTCCCTGGGACGTTCAAACACATTTTCAGGTTCTACAGCCACCTTCTCGCCTTGATGGGTCATGGTTTCCTGAAATATATCAATGAACGCCTCCCACTCATGACAAAAATCTAACAACCACCAAATGGCAAACAGTCTGCATATGTGTATCCAACCAAGAATGTGAATCATTAATTTGACGTTTAATCATGAGCCAAAATTTACCAAGCCCCAAGAAACACTCTGTTCTCATGAAAAGAAACCTATTTTTAATGCATGCTAAGTTAAAAAGAAGGAAGATAGTTTAATCAAAATCAATGAGAATGATTGCAGAAAAGGCAGCGACCATCAACCAAATGTAGATTAAACTATTATTAACTCTTTGAAGATTATGAATCAATTTGTATCAACCGTTGTTAGAAAAAGGGATTCCTTTTCTTTGTCCTCATTTTAGGAGATTGATACAAACCTGGTAACAACATCTGACAAGGACCATAGAAAACAAGTAAATGATAAGATCAAGCCAAAACTACAAGCCAAGATCACCCTGAATTTAAACACAAGAATTCTAAACAAAAGATTAGCGAACAAAATGCAATAGTACTTAGAAACAACGTTCATCAACCATTGTCAAACATATTGCAGAAAGGCGAGATTGATTTCACATTTGAAAATCAATAAATGTAATGCACCACATTAACAAAAAGTAAAAAAAAAAAAAAAAAAAAAAAAAAAAACAGGGAAACACCACAGGATTATTTTCATAGATGGGTCAATGTTTAACATTTATTCATGACAAAAACCATCAGTAACTTAGAAAAGAAAGCAACTTTCTAATGGTGGGAAGCATATGCACACACAAAAAATCATGGTAAATACCATACTTAATAGTGACATATCAGTATTTTCTCCCTGAGTTTGGAAACACGACAAAAATATCAACTATCCATTCAGCAATTTACTGGAGAATCTAAGAAGTGCAGTGGCATCAGGAAGACATGATAGGTTTAAAAACTGGAAAGAAATGAAACTGTTATTATTCACATACAACATTGTTCTGTACATAGACAATGTAAAAGAATAAAATCATTAGGGTTAATAAACAAACTTAGTCAAGTTACTAGATATAATAAAAACCACTGGTATTTCTTTATAACTAATAGAAACAAATAGTTAGAATATGAAATTTCAAATGTCATTAAAAACAGCACCAGAAACATCAAATACTTAGGAATAAATCTAATGAAGATGTGCTGGAGCACTACACAATAATTATAAAACATCACTGAGAGAAATTCAAGGCTGCAGTAAATGGAAGAAATATTCTTTACATGGAATGGAAGACATTATTAAGAGATGTTACTGTTAATTCTCCCTGAATGATCATGCCAATCGTCCTTAAAATTCCACCATGAAAAATAAATTTTCCAAAAACTGACGAGCTGATAGTTTTTTAAAAAGTATATGGGAATTGCCAGCGCGGTGGCTCAAGCCTGAAATCCCAGCACTTTGGGAGGCTGAGGCAGGCTGATCACGACATCAAGAGACTGAGACCATACTGACCAACATAGTGAAACCCCATCTCTACTAAAAACAGAAAAATTAGTTGGGTGTGCTGGCTCATGCCTGTAGTCCCAGCTACTCGGGAGGCTGAGGCAGGAGAAGCACTTGAACTGAGGAGGCAGAGGTTGCAGTGAATCAGGATCGTGCCACTGCAGTCCAGTCTGTGTGACAGAGTGAGACTCTGTCTAAAAAAATAAAAAAGAAAAAAGTATATGGGAATTAAAGATTTGGAAAAGCCAAGACAATCTATAAGAAGAAGAACTAATTTGGTAGATATGCACTACTAAATATGAGATTTACTGTAAGGGTAGAGTAATTAAAACAGTGTAGTATTGGAGCAATGACAGACAAATAAACCAAAGGAAGAGGACACAGAGTCTGGAAACACAAAAGAGCGAGATTTACCACAAAAGAGATTCTGTAAATCATTGTGGAAAGGGCTGTGCTTTTAATAAATGCACTTTATAAATGCAGGGAAAATATAAACCTTGACTCTTATCTCATCCGCTCCAAAAAACATTATTAAAGATGGAGAGACAATCTAGTAAAACACTTGAGATATTATCTTCACAACTATAGAACAGGCAAAGGTGTTTCTAATGAGGATACAAAAGCACTAACCATAAAGAATGAATTGTTTAATTTGACATAATTAAATGGAAAATTTCTGTTCCTCCAAAGACACTACTAAGACAGTGAAAAAGCAAAGCGTATTTGTACATTACATATCACAGATTAGATTGTATAGGTTATATGTAAAAATATATATTAACCACACTCACACAAGCACACACACATATATATACGTATGTATGTATGTATGTATGTATGTATGACAAAAAACAAGTGGAATACACAACATATCCAGAACTACACTTCAATTTTTAAGAAACAAACATCCCAATAAAACTTGAGGGGGAGCTGAATACACACTTCATGACAGTCACACTTAAATATGACTCTAATAAACACGTAAAACACACCCAGACTCTGGCTTTACTCCATTCAACGAGAATTTATTTGAGATGAATTTGAAACCTAGAAGAAAACAGAATCTAATCGTCATGGCATTGGGCAAGGCAAAGATTTTTCTTAAAATAATAAAAAGCAGTAGCCATAAATAACACACTGAGTAATAAAATTAAGAGTCTGTTCATCAAAAACACTTTATCGAGACAGTGTAAAAGCAAAACAGATTTATCGAAGACATTAAAATTCCATGTGTATTTTATCTATGTACATATATGCCTGTGTGTATGTGTGTATAACTGAAATATGGAAAATATGTAAATCCATTTTTAAAGTACAAACATCTCAGTAAAATTTGGGGGTAGAGGCTTGAAAAGGAACCTCCTAAAGGGCACAGTTAAATGACAATAAATACATAAAAACGTGCTCCAAACCCATTAATAAACAGCTGGGATTGGTGGCTCATACCTGTAATCCCAGCATCTTGGGAGGCTGAGGCAGGTGAATCGCTTAAGCCAGAAGTTCGAGACCAGCCAGGGCAACTTGGCAAAACCCCTCTCTGCATAAAAAAAATACAAAAATTAGCCGGGCTTGCCGGTGCATGCTTGTAGTCCCAGCTACTCCAGAGGTTGAGGCACAAGAATTGCTCGAGCCCGGGAGGTGGAAGTGCTGCTGTATCCACCCTGGGAGGCAGAGGGAGACCCCATTTCAAAACAAAATCAAGTATCAATTAATAAATAAACAGTAAATAAATTAATTAATTAAAACAATTTTTTAAAAGATGTGCTCAATCTCAATCAGCAGAGAAATTCAAGTGCAGACATAAGGAGAGACCACTGCACACCCATCAGAGCAACTGGAATGAAAGATTAACTGTACAGCGAGTGTGTGAATGTGGCACAGCTGGAATCTTCGAATATTTCTGTACACCGACTCCCACACAGACACCCCAGGCTGTGGCTGAAAGGTCAGATAGTACCCCGGGGAAGAGCTCCTTCAGAACTGAGATCAACCAATGGAGGAAAAGCACCCCAATCCGGGGCGAGACAGAGCTCCCAGGGTCAGGTGGCCTCCCTCATGGCCGACACAGAGCTCCCCGTGTCCCACCGTAGGCTTAGAGAATCCAAGGAACAAGCACCCCACTCCCCCGCAGCACCGGGAGACAGCACCCACAGATAATTAAAAAAACCAGCACCAAGGGAAAGCATTTGGTAAGCATCCCCATCCGGGACGAGCAGAACCCAAGAAAGGCCAACACATCTTAGCTGAGCATGAGCAACATCCAAAGACAAATGCACCCCACGGAGGACATCAGCACTCGAAGAAAAGAGTCCCTCGCGGGCTGAGATAAAGCCCACGACAGTGACCCCACAGAGAGGTGATAGTGCGTCTGGGGCACAGACACCCCCACCCCGGCCCATGAGCACGGGCAGAGTCCACAAGGCAGAGTCTCCCCTCAGGGCTGCGACTGAGCAGGGAAGACACACCCCTAAACCCGAGGCTGACACAGGCAACCAAGGCAGGATCCCTATGTCCTGGTTCAGGTCATTTCAGCAGAAAAAGTCCCTCGCATCACCTAGAGAGAGCCCCCGAGAAAACCCCCCAGTCCCACAACATAGCTGAGACTGGATGCCGAAGGAAAATGTTCCCCCACGGCCAACACAGGCTCCCACGGCGGTGTCCTCAGAGCGGGAACACATAGCCCAGTGATCCGTACCACACACCCGACGGAGAGCACCCCAGAAAAGAGGCTTTCCTAGGACAAAGGAGCCTTTCCGGGGTGAAATGAAAGCATTCAGGGAAAAACTGCTCCACTCACAGTCCTGAAGCCCTGACCTTGCCAGAGAAGCGGAAGCGTCACATCACAAAATGGCAGTGAAACTGTTGTGGCGCCTCCCCCCCGGTTGAGCTTTCTAGAAAAGTGCCCTCTGAGAACTGTGGGAAATGTGCCCCCTAGGGCACCTGGGAGTGATGTGCATGGGTCGCGTCTCACCAGAAGCACAGATCCCGTAGTGACCAAGGGAGACGGAAGGAAGGGAAGCTGCCGGCCACTGGGAACCTGTTGGGGGCACCAGAGTCCAGAGGAGAAGCCTCGAACCCAGCAGGACCAAGCGCGCCAGCCCAGACAGACCGAGGAAGAGGAGAGCTCCCCTTCGCTGACTCTGGCGCCCTCTAAAGGCGGCCTTCTGTATCAACTGCACCGCGCACATAGGCAGAGGAACGCAGAACCTTCTCACTCTGCGGGATAAAAGGGTGAATTTGGAGCTGACGGGCAAATATATCTTGTGATATATTTGTCCGGCTTTGATAACGGAGTAATACTGGCCTCACAGAATGCGGTAGTGTTTCTTCCCGCGTTATTTTCTAGAAGACATCCCTAAGTGTTGGTATTATTTCTTCCTTAAATGTTTGGTAGAATTTGCAAGCGAAGCCACCTTGGCTTGGCTTGTATTTGTGGGGAGTTTTTAAATGACTAATTAAATCCCTTTTCATGCTATAGTCCTATTTCAGTAATTTGTCTTCAAGGAATTTTTCCATTTTGTCCAAGTTAATTTTTGGCAGAATGTTGTTCAGAATGTATTCCTTTTGATTTCTATAAGGTCAGTATTAATATACCCCCTTCTATTCTTGATTTTCAGAATCTGTATAGTTTTTTTGTTTTTTCTTGGTCAGTCAAGCTAAATGGTTGTTGTTTTTTTTTTTCACCTTTTCAGTGAACCAACTTTTGATTTCATTCTTTGTTTTTTTTTTTGTTGTTGATTTTCTTCTACTTTAATTTTCATCATTCCCCTCCTTCTACTTGCTTGTATTAAATATATCAATTTAAAACTTCAGGGATAACAAATGACTTGTTTCATAAAACAGGATTTGAAACCTTAGATATGTAGAAATGCTTATGCTATTGCAAGTAGTAATTGAGGCCAGGAAAGTTAATACAACACAACCACTTCCTACCCGTTTTGATAGTATGCATGCATATGAAAACCAAGTAGGACAGTAATACTAACAAACAAAATTACTTGGCTCCCTGATACTCATCGATGAAATACCAGTGGCTGCCATCTTAAGCCCTGATGGAAAAGTCAACAACACATTCTCAGGTGCTGGTTGGACATT